TATCTCATTGATGAAGTATCATTCTTATAATAGATAAATAAAGAATTTTTTTAATCATTCAAATTTTTTTCACAATTCAAAAACTTTTAATCTAAAGTTTAGAGGACACAATTAGTTTTCAAATGTATGCCGGAACAGTGAGGCGTGGAGCGTTGAGTCCGCGTCGAAGGCGCACCAGCTCGTTTGAAGCTTCCTTTTTTCTGCTTTGTCATTTCGTTTTTCTTTTCCACAAATTCCCTCTTTAGATCCAAAATTTCTATTTTTCTGAGGCAAACCGTTACAATTCTCACGAGACCTACTACATTTCAAGGTATACAACGTCAACTAGAGAATATTCTTCCACGTCATAGTATCTTCTTCTGATATCTAGAGCAGGAGTGTTAGGTCTCGCTCTCTTGGTTTCACATCATATACTTGACAATAACATTTTTTCAAATAGAAAATATTTCATCTTCTCTTTCAATAAAAATTCAATGATTATTGGAACCGATATTCAGATCTTTGCAAAAACTTATTTTTTATAAGATACTAAACTTCTAAAATATATGTTCTCCATGACTCTGACTCATCTTCAGATTGACAAGAAGCCTTCGTTATTCGCGTGACACTTGAAACATAGGAACAATAACTAATTTGAAATTCAGAGAACTAAAAATGATCTACATATTTTGAAATTTAGAGTCTCACTACGTCTTATGTAAATTTTTGAGTAATTATTCTGTCGCTAACCGTATGATCATCGAATACAAAGCTTATAGTTTCAATCATAAGATTTTCCAAAGTCCTTCATTTTTAATAAGATTCATTTTTGTCAGATCTTAAAGTCCCGAGCATTTGTGTGAAAATTTGGATTTGAATACAATAAATGGTCTAATCAAAGCCTGCTCGATACGTGAATTTTGAGCTGAAATATCTCGGTTCCCTTAGAAGATATCAACAATATTACATTAGTTAACAAATGTTTTATATCTTCTGAAGAACAGAGATTATCGAGTTGAAAATGAACGCATCGTGTGAACCTATTAGAGCATTTACTGTATCTATTACCAAATGATATAATGCTCATACTACAACTTTGCACATCTTGCCCTTTCAGCCATATATTCCATTCTCATTTTCTTAACACTTAATCCCTATATTTCTCATACCTTCCATTCCTCTTACTCCCATTCTATTCTTAGCAAAATTGTTGCTATATATAGCTCAATATCGCTTTTCCCTAATTCCCACTCTTTCTTCTTTGTCTCTGTTATCTGCAGCTCCACCTCTTTTGAAAAGATCATACATTACTCTGTTTCTTTTTCTCCAAGAGGAGCACACGTTAACACTGATAACTTGCTTCCGGTAGTTGATATGAAAGAGGATAATGTCATGCGTATTTTTTTTTCAAACTCATGTATACACTTGCTGCCGACCTTGAATCTGTTTTGCACCTTCAAATATTTTTAGATGTTTTATCTGAATTATTATTTTGCAGAATGTCCGCTACATTTATGGCTCTGGGACAACAACCAAAATTGATTCGTGAGAGCATCATACAATCCATGGATATTGATGCTCTTATATCTGCATCGTTCTCCTCCGAAGATGCATACAACATGATCCGAATGCTTATCTGGAGACTTGAAAACACTACTGTGAATTTTCAAGAATGTTATGGAAGGACTTATATTCAGTGTAGCAGTGTTGGATTCACCGAGAAAATAGCTCAATGGCAATTGATCCGTGCAACAGAGGGAAACTTTACTGCGAAGTTGAGAATCAATAGCACGGTGTATGATATCAGGTTGGAACTGGAAATACCATCAGTTAGCTTATCTGCATGTTTCAGAGAATTTGATCCAGCCGCTCAAAATACCGATTCATGGAACAACGAAGATTACAAGAAGTGGTTTGTGACTCGCTCGATGAGACTCTTCTACGATCTGTTTGGAAGAATCCGTGGTATTGCTGTCGGTATGAAGTGGATGCAGTTAAGAGATATTCCATACTACACTTTCCCGAAACATTGTGTCATGCTTGATGAGCATGCGAGTGCGATCGACATCACATGGTTCTGTGATCGATTCAACGGACGCACTCTCATCATAGATCCGATCATTAGAGGAGTTATTGAACCAAACTCAAACATGATGAATATTAGTCACTTGTTTATCAAAGATGCACCATGGTTTACCGGTGCTCATTTGCAAAACTTCACCGGAAAGAATGCATTTGTTTTCAATGCACAAATCTACACTAATGACGTTGTTGAACTTGTGCAGCAGTGGTTGGATGGAAGAAACAGAAGACTACGTACCGTTGTTATTCGTCCACAATCCGGAATCCCGTTTGACCCAGAGGATGTCAAGAGAAGTCTGAAACTTCAATCTCGTGATTGGGATCCAGAGGAACGTGATAGAAATTTCATATTCCGTGAAGACTGGTTAGTTTTCTTTGCAAATAATTTGGAAGGTACAAAAATTTCGAGGGTACAAAATATCTGAAGAAGTTTCAATTTGCTATCCCCGAATTGTGATTTTCGTACCTGTAAATTGCAATTTTGCACTCCGTTGTTCCCCGAAACTGTTGTACCTCCTAATCATGTACCAGTTGTTTTCTTCGGTCTTGAACTTCAACAGAAACAATTTTTCAGGAAAATGCACATGCTAGAGCCAGATGTAAGCCTTCTCGATTGTTCCACAGGACAAGACTTCTATAGAGAAAGTGATGGAATGCTTGCCACCCTCCATATGACCAACAGAACCCTCTGCTTCTTCGTTTGGCGCAACCGCTTTCCTCATCTCGCCGAAAATAATTAATAATAATGTTGCCTTTGAATTTATGCTCTTTCTTCTTGTATTCATACCCCGACTCATCTACATCTCGTTAATTATTTGTTACTCCCCCTCCCTTGTCGCCTCAAAGAGTCATATTCCTTTACAATGTTTCTGAATGATATCCTATCCCGTAGTACCACTTCAAAAATACGTTTATGAGCCTTGAAAACTGAGAAATCCTTTGCTAATTAGGATTCAACGACTCCTCCTCTTACATGTAGTTTTGGTCAAACTCAGATCTTTTATTCTTCTTACTCATTTCACCAACATGCAGTTTTTCTAGACTTGAATGCCGATCTCTATTTTTTATAACCTGTGACAATCCGAAAGTTATTTATCTTTCGAAAAATCCATTATTTCTGTCCCCTTCCTAATAATTTTTACATTGAATTTCTGGCTTCTCTGATTTGCACATACACTGCTAATTCTTTGTTTTGTTTTGTTAAATTATTTCATCCGATTTCTTTTCCAGCTTCTCACTGATTTTTTTGTGAATACCACCATTTTCCTCTCTACAATTTTCCCTAATAAACAAAAAAATTTCTTTACTGTATATAATTCCTCCCGTTTTCCATTATTTTTTTAACTTATTAGGCGCTCCTCGTGAGGGGGGCTAACTTTTTCTTATGTACCGTTTGCCACCGCTCTGAAAATAAATAAATCTAATCTAATAGGTGGATGCTCTTCCCTCAATACCATTCTGATACCACACTTTTCATTAGACATGAGTGTTTTGGATTTTGAAATTTTATATACGGATCATCCCTTCTTTGCATTATACCACCGCACATCTTGATCCCTTAAAAACGCACTACCCATTAGTGAATGTTGTCTTGTGCTCCAATTTTGTCTTTCCTCAGATTCCTATCTACCTAATTGGAAGACGTTGTTCGCGCGCTCGGGCTAATCCGAGCAGGTGGTCCCGTTTCTTCGGTCCCTTTCAAGCTCTCACGGCACACCTTAGACAACAATTTCCGCATGTTCCGATTCTAAAGGTTTCGTACTATAGATTCCAAATTTCCTTTCACCATAGTTTATCTGTGTCGAAATGACTATGGTTTCCCAGGGATTAGGTGTTAGGAAATGAAGAAATAAGACAAAATGCTCACTATTTTTACTCTTTCAAATCGTTTCAATTTTGTCCTAAGCCACTTCGACATTCGTATAGATTTCGTGAGAATCTTTCTCTCACTTTCCTGAAATCTTTATTCTCTTATCAAATTCTCCAACCCCCGTTTTTCGCACTATTCCTTTTATTCTCGTTCTCCCCTATTTCCCTTTAATATCCGAATAGCTCACCTCTCACCGGATTTTCTTATTATCGGATTATATTCTGCACCGCACGGGTTATACTCTTGTTCCTAGATTATAATCTCGACCATTAACATGTTACTGAAATGTTCAGCTTTATTCAAACCATGAACCACGGCGAGTAATTTAAATGTGGTTTTTAGCAAATCTACAGTAATCCAGGTTGATTTAAAACTTACTTCCACTCTTATTTTTTGGTGTTTCCAAAAACATTCATTACAAAATGTTTGGGACAAAATTCTGCACAAAATTCACTTAATTAGAGAAATGCATAATCAGTGGTATTTCAATTGGTTTCCAAAAACCTCGAAAATTTGTGTTTTTCAATTGATTTTTCGGAAAAAGTTTATCGCTTCTTTGGTTTCTTGGCCAGAATTAACATTTGCAGGCACATTTTGTGTTTCTCTCATTTTCATAAACGTTACTTGTTTTGAAATTGAAATTTTCGACCCAGGATTTTCAAATGACGAAATCTAATAGTGTTCTACTGTATCGAAAAAGTGAACATGGAATACCAACTTTTGTTTATAAATTGTATCTTTTAATTTTGCGAACTTCTCCTTTCATTTAATATACATGCTCCAAATTATGTTTCAGACATGCGAATAAACTTTACAAAATTTCACGATTTATTTCAAAAAAGAGTGCTCCTGGAGCTGGGAACTAAAGAGTTGACGAATTTTGCAACCCTGTCGAGAAAATCGCGGGCTAAAGTGAGAAGTATACGATGGCCAAAAGTAGAAACATTTATTGATTGCGTAAATTTTCGAGCGGATGCAACAATACAATACGGAAATGATCAACAGCGAGAATTTCACCTATCGTTGGAAACCAAACCCAATGAATACATCGATAAAGATGAAGAAGAAGATTTCTACACTGTAAATGGCCAAGTCTTCAAAATGAGGTTTGATTTTGAGAGGTTAGACTCATATTTAAAAGTTGATGAATTGCAGTTTGCTCGCACGACTTTGGACAATGTGTGGTGAAAGTTTAGAGGATTCCATTAATAAGAGGTTCGGAGCTGTCTGCATTTATTTTCTCACACATTTCAATGTCATTCATACTCTGAAAGTAGCTGTTGGAACACAAATGCCACGTTATTTTGATCCAAGAATAACATGCATTGTGAGATATGAAAATATCACTACGGAGGATGAAGACAATGAATTTGGAATATATGACAGTTGGTCAGTATTCAAGAAGTTATACGATGTTGTTTATAATGATCTCAATTCTGACTTCCCATCTGGAAATAGTACTGAAAACCGTAAGGGGTTCAGTGTAATTCATCGAGAAACATACGGGATAGAGGAAAACACCATCCTGAACTTTTCGGGAGAGACTGGTGTTTTCTATAACACCCGTTTTAGTCGAAAAGAAATAACCGATTTTGTGACTGCATGGCTCAACGGAGAAAGCAACATAACGGGATCTCTGATATTTTCTCAGAGCAAAGGGATTCATTTGGATACATTTGAAATCAGTTTCAGCTTTAAAAATTTCAATAAACAAAGAGGACCAGAACTACGATTTCCTCTTCCAGAAGAGTAAGTTTTTCAGAAACACAAATTTGTTTCAAGTTTTTTTCTAATTTTTTTCAGAATAACGCGATTCTGTGAAGAAAGTGGTGTGTGGACCGATCTAAGTGAGAGAAGTACTAAACGCATTGACAAAAAAAGATTCGATTTGGTTCGAGAATGTGATCAGAAGAGATGCACAGTGCGCATGCCGGACGCAAACACGTTTTGTTTTTTTGTTTGGCCTTGAAGATTTATTGGTGTCTTTTTTGAAGGTTAGTTATTCGATTTTGTACAGAAAACTTGGTTTGAATAGTTTTTTCGACTAGTTTAACAATCTAATTCTCAGAATCTATCAGCTCCTCGTTCCACTTACTATGTAAAAATTTTCTTCTTCCCCGTATTCCGTGGTTTTGGTTTCCGACGATGTTAACTTCTCAATTTTTTTAATTACCGTACTGTACTATTGCATCAGCTCGATAGGTGAGACAATCAATGAAAGCTTGAATTTTTGACCATCTAACTCTTATTTTTTAGCCTTTAATCGTCTCGACAAGGTTGTAAGTTTCATCAACAAATGCGTCCATTGTCAATTTCAAGATTCAAGATCTGTCGAGCTCTCCACATCCAAATCTTCTATCTTTTCCAGCTTTCAATTTTCATTCAATAACGATTTTTTGAAATCCCAATCGAAATTGTATTCCAAACAAATACCGCCTCCATGTTTAGTTCTCTCCACAACAACATTTTTGTCACAAATATCCCTTTCCATCTTTTTGTTCTCGTCTAATTTTTCAATTTTTCTGCATTTTCTAATGTTTGCAATGTTCAAACTCCAAACAGATTCCCCCTTTTTTCATTTTACGCCATTCTCAATTTGTCGTTAGAAGACAAAACCGTTTAAAAATTTGAATAAGTTTTTCATACTAAACTGTTTCATTCTCCACTTTTTCTAATTTTATTAATTTCCGTTCAATTACCGCATGCTCTCCATAACCATATTTGCTTATTTCAAACATTCAACTGCTTCTTATGATGTTTTTTAAACAAATGAAGTTATTTAATCGAAAAAAATGCTTCTCAAAAATAAATAAGTTGTGAAAGTCAAGAAACTTTTGCTAATATCTTTTTTGAGTATCTTAAGATTTCAAGTCATTTTCATGTCACAATGAAACCTCAACACCTTGTAAACCCAGATTTTGATGAAAATTTTAGGATAAATTGAGAATAGCCCCTCTGAAAATTTTAGGATCCGCCCGCCAGCGTCAGCAAGTTATATCAGTTTTAGTACCAAAAATCGCCTTTTCAGTGCAAAAGCAGCATTTTCAAAGACGAGTTTTCTCGTTTTTTTTAAAGTTCTGGGGCGTTTCAAAGCATGAAAATTGTTGTGATATACTTAAAATACAATTAAATTTTATATTTCAAACGTTTTCTCAAAAAAAATTTTTCAAGTTTCGAAAAAATCTGGAAAATCGGTTTAAAAAAATAAATAATAGGTAATCGTTTTTTTCTTGAGAAAATGTCTGAAATACAAAATCGCAATTTATTCTAAGTATAACACAACAAATTCGAGTTATGTGATTTCCCGTTGTCCAGTTTTCTATTTTTTTTTCTGCAATGTTTCTGCATTTTCTAATGTTTGCAATGTTCGACCTCCAAATATTTTTCATTTTACGCCATTCTCAATTTGTCGTTAGTCAAAAAAACCCTCATAAAATTTGAATATATTCTCAATACTATGTTTTTCCATTTCTATATTTTTAAGGTTTTGTTAATGTTATTTATGTTCTCGATAACCATATGTATGTATTTCAGAAATTTACCTGCTATTCTAAAATCTTATTTCAAGAGTAATAAACTATCTAATAATAACAAAATTGAAAAAGCTTCTCAAAAAGAAATAAGTTGTGAATGTCAAGAAACATTTACTAATATCTTTTTTAAGCATCTCAAAATTTTAAGTAATTTTTAGCTCACAAGGTTACGTCAAACCGGATCTTGATAATATTTTTAGGATAGTTTAAAAATGGGCTAGTTAGGCACCTCTGAAAATTTTAGCATCCACTCACCAGTTTCAGCCGAGTTACAACAGTTTTAGTACCAAAAATCGCCAAATTGTTCAACTTTCGAAAAAAATCGTGAAAAACTCAAAAATGAAAAATGTTTTTTTTTTTTTGGGAATATGTCTGAAATATAAAATTGCATTCAAATCTAAGTATATCACAATAAATACTAAACTATTAGATGCCCAAGTTTTCTATTTGTCTTTGAAATCAAAATCACCATATTTTCAGAAACATGTTGGCTCTTCTTCTTTATTTATGCACCTGAAGAGATATAAGAAAATGTAACTTTTAAAGTTAATTTTTCTCAATTCAAATAATTGAATTATCACACTTTCAGGAACCGATTGTATCAGATGAGGAAATCAAAAAACTAGCGCCAACGTTCACTCCCCTTGAAGAACATCTTGATAATAGCATGGTTTATCTATTAATTAGGGATAGAGAACTTTCTGAACCTGACTGGGATTATCTTTCGGAATACTCTGAACCTGACTGGGATTATCTAAAACAATTCCACAGGTTGGTAAAATTGAATTTGAAAATCAAAATAAATGTTTTATAGTTGAAAGCATTTGGTGATTATAAAGCTTTGCATAGGGAAGAAGTGTACGGCGTTGCTCGGTTTAATAATGTACAATGCCAACGTACATGTACCGCTACGACTGGCGCAGATTGCTTCCTGATTATTCGATTATTCATTTCACTTAGGGCTAGCTAACTTTTTCGGAGCAGAGGAAGTTCACGTAAGAATCCTTCTCGGAAGTCAGAAAAGTCATTTCATATTTGAAGTTTTCAGGACAAAAATTGGTATATTTTACGCCCGAAACCACCCAGATATCAAAGACAATCGTTTGTTCATGTTGTAACAGACACCAAAAACGTTGAGGAGCTAAATGAAGTAATAATTTTTGTTGTCTTGAATTAGCGGAAACCGGAAATCGATTTTAGTTCAAAAAATACACCGAAATTACAGATTAGTGGAAATGAAGATGTGGAACTACCTGCTGATTTACCGGTTCTCGACGAAAGCAGTGGCATCGAAAGCTTCCAACCGCAGGAATAAATACATTTTTGAGATTATTATTTCACCATTTTTCTGTAGCCTAGACTTTTAATCTTGTACCTAGGAGACTAAGCATTCTTGCGGACAAAATTAGGAATTCTAACACCATTACCTCTACCGTTATGTGATAGATATCTTCTTACCCGCAAGTCAATTTTCAAACACCTGATATATTAAGGAAAATTTAGAAATTATTCTTATGATAAATAAATGAATTTACGTCTCTTTATTTCTCAGTCTGTCTGCACATTTGCAAAAAACTAGAAATTTTAATATAAATTGACATGGCCTTTTGAGACAAAGTGAGGAGCAAAGCGAAGAACAATAGAATAAATAACCTAAAACGCACCAGCCAGCTGTTTGAAGCGCCAGAAGCGCAGAATACATTCTGGTATTGAAAAATAAATGATTGGGCTGAATTTTTATAAAATATTAGAAACTTTCAAAAATTACAGTTATCATATCCCAGCTAAAACTAATTAAAGAAACACATGAAATAAGCTCCTTTTTTGAGTTTGCTGGTGAGAGAGATTAGTTTGCTTTTTAGAGTTCACAAAACTATTCAGAGTCTCATATTGCCTAAAACTTCCTTTTTTGGCAAAAACCCTGCTATTTTCGAAAAATCCCTAAATTCTCAATTTTCGCTCATTTCGCTTAAATTTATGTTTTTTTCATTCTCAAAAAAAACAAGAAATTTTAAGTTAAATCCCTCTCCAAAAAATCGAAACTATGGGAACACCTGTATTCCATATGACGTCCATTATTAGTAATTGTTCCAGACATCCATGACCGGCTCATTTGTCGACAGTACCCCTTTCAAAAGATCGTCATTTTCCAAAAAAGAAAGAAGCGGCTTATAGAATGAGGTAATTAGTCCTTTCCTGTTCACAGTCGCTCTTTTTCGCTAATGAGAAAGGTGCGCCTCATCGGCCGGGCCTCTTTAAATCGGATTAAATGTATCCACTGTGGTCTCATTTGGTTTCGGAAAATCTTTTTTTCTGCCGACCGAGCTTCATAACCGACTGCCGATCAATAGTCAGCGTAAGTGTAATTCGATTTTAAGTTTATCTCGTTGTCCCTCTCTAGCTAAGTTTCATCGATGATGTCAAAAAATTTTTTATTTCAATTTGTAATTTTCAGAAAGGATAATAATGTCGCTTTTGTCGGAAACCCTTGAAGATGCATGGATACATTCCTCTGCCATTATAGACTGCGTCCGTCTTGAAACAACTGCAACTATCCAGTGTCAAACAGATCAAGGGCTTCTCAAAAAAGTGATTGAAATTCGAGGGCAAATAGATGAAAACAAACCTAGTAGAATCAAAAACATTGAAGTGAACGATGTCAATTATTGTATTATGTAAGTCAATTGTTCTTAGACTCATTTTCTATACCTGGCTTTTAGACCGGAAAAATGGCACCCTGACTTTGACACAATTGAAGAGGCCGAGCTATTTGTGCAAGATGAGTTTGGAAATATGTGCTTGTCTTTTCTGACACGCCGTTTTGGCGCCATGAAGAATATAACTATTCTCATGGAAGCTATCATCACTTGCCAGAGCGGTCACAAATTCAAAATGAAATTTAACAGCGGCTTCTTCTTTGCCTCCTTGACTACTGGGATAGTTGACAGCGGGCACGGACTGTTTGAGAGGAACCGGAGACGGATGATGGGCGAGGAAACTAGCAGGACTATGACGATGACATGGCAGCCCAATAGTGTGTATATTGAATCACAATGGGTTTCAAGACTGCACCTGCTTAATTTTTCTCAAAGAAGTGCAATTTTTCTAAATTCTTCTTTAACTTCCTATCATTCAATTTGTTGAGAAGTGGCTCTACTCGGATAATATCACAACACATGCCGTTGTAATAGAACTCCAAAAACAAGAAAATGCAAATATTATTCTGGATCACTTTGAAGGGAGAAGGTATCGTAAAAATGAAGGAGGAGCCATTCGAGTCGAAAAGTATTTCCTCTTCCCAGAGTAAGTTATCTTGATTAAAAATTATATCAGCTATTTATTTCAGACTAGAAAAATACTACGAGCACAAAATCAATCTGCTGGACTGTCCTTCAGGCTCAGCTCAGGTTATAGATCTGGTCCGCGAGCACGGCTTTGAATTGATATGTACATCAAAGTCCACAAAAACTATTTCTGCTTTTACGTGTGGCACGACAGGTTTCCAACGGATTGGTTTCTTTGTGGAAGTGAGTAACATTACAAATTATTATTCTCTTGCAAAAAATCAGCATGTTGAGTATGTATATAATTTTTTGAAAAATTTATTTTGGATAATTTAAATCCTTAATATTAAAGTATATCTGCATTTTTCAGAGCTTGAGCCCATTAACTCTCTTCTCCTCACTCCAAATACCTCGACAACTGGGTCTCCATCTTCTGTCACCTCTCTCTGACATTTTCTTTTAAACGGCCATTGTGAGCAGTTCGTACCCTTTCCATATTTACTTCTATCATCAATTTCCCCACTTTCAAACACATTTTCAAGTCTTCATTGACCACTCTCCATCCCTAATTTCTTCCTTTTTTGTTTGAACTTTTCCATACTGCCTTTTCTCTGTTGCCAAAGCATTAAACTGTTTTTTAAATCTTTTCTCTCCGTTTTTTTTCTCCAACGTATTACACCATCGTCCCTCTATTCCATCTCCTTATCGCCAGAACATATCTTTTCTTGATATTTCCATTCCTTAAACCCAACCTTTCCTATCTCCTCTCCCATCTCCATTCATTTTTCGCTTTCTAATTTTCATAATAAAAAGAACATGCTGTTTTTTCTCTTTCTCATCTTTTTTCTTTTTTTCGGACGACAACAGAACAAATGGCGGGAAAGGTCTTCGCGTCTCACACTTTTTTTCTGACAGAGAGAAAAAAATCTTTCGAATTCCTCGAGACTTAACTTCTTCAGGAAACGATACTCAACTTTGAGAGGCTCCATTTCAGGGGGGGAGGGTTTAGAAAAAGAGTCTAATCGTTTTTTCTTCTTAGAGGGCAGAAAGTTTTTAAAATTGGGTTTTCTACAGTAGTAGAAAAATCTTTAAAGTGTTCTCATAATTGTTCAAAGCATATTAATTTTGCTGGGTAATATAATTCTCAAATTTCAGGCTATTTATTCCGTTGTCTTGTCTGAGAAATTTCGAAAACCTATAATTCGAATACTCCTGAAATTCGTTGGCCCCGTGAGTGCACTCACACATCTATAATTTTTTCTGTCTGGCTGTGTGTATAGTGTACAATTATCAAACCAAAAGTTTAATGTTTTCGAAAACTCAGATTTTGTGAGTACACCTTCTCCTCTTTCCCATGCTTTCTCTCTCTAGTTGTCCAACAAAACCTCTATAAAAAGTTTTTTTTCCATTCATAATCAAAATTCAAATTACTACAGCAAGCCTAGACTGACTTTTTAGGAACAGCGGAAACGAGGCGGGAAATTAAAAATGAATCTGCGGTCCGGTCGTAAACCGAGTTTTTTGCTTTCCAGAAACTGAGGGAAACCGAGAAATAAAAAATAGGATTTACTATCCATTCCGGGGGATATCACCTGACATACCTTTTCTCTCTCACTCCTGACTTGTTTTTTCCAGTTCGATAATGTTCATTCGAGCGGACCCAACACGTAGGCAAGTGCAGAATCTATTAGTGTAATCATTCACCACAATGACTGACGTCACAACTATCACTCATCTAGATGTTCATTCACAACTTGGTAAAAAATCAACATGGTTATTTTTCAATTTCATTGCACTAGATTTGGTCTCAAATGGGAACCTCAACACCTTGTGAACCCACGTTTTGACGAAAATTGCAGGACAGGTTGTGAATAGGCTATCTAGGCACCTCTAAACATTTCAGAGTCCGCTCGCCAGTCTCAACCGAGTTATAGCAGTTTGAGTACCAAAAATCGCTGTGTTATATTTAGAATTAGATGAAATTTCATACTTGAGCCGTTTTCTCAAAATCATGTTTCTTTTTTTAAATTTTCGAATAAACCGGGAAAATGGTGAAAAAAAATCGAAAATGAAGAGATATTTTCCGGTAAAAAGTCTAAAACAAAATTCATTCAATTCTTGATATAGCAGAACTATTATCATGTCCTAAAACGTTCTAGAGATTGAGAAAAAGAGAAAAGCGAATACAAAAGTTGTCAAAAAATGTTTTGTTTGTTTTCAATTTTTCCACAATTTTCCAGATTTATTCGAAAATTGGAAATAATTTTTTGAGAAAACGTCTAACATAAAAAGTTAAATTCTAAATATAACAGAGGAATTTTTGTTTCGACACTTATGTGGTCAGCGCTGTGTCGGAACGAGAGTACAAGGATGGGAACATTTAATTAAATCAACAGCTGTTTATTCCTGGGTAGAGCTCTCAGTGGGGATCTTCGCAGCATCTGCATTCGGCGTCCACCAATGTTACGATGACCAGCGACAGAGGAGAGTCATCGGTAGTTGGCGTGGTCCTTGGGCGTCAGTAGGTGGGATCCGGCGTCAGTGAGTCCATTGTAAGGGAGATCTTTTGTATTGTTCCATTGTCTCAGATGTCTCATCACACTGGCGATTTCTGTTCCTTTTATAGCATCTCCTTGGAATATCCACGCTTGTGCTCCAGATCTAATATGGTGATAAGGGAGTGATCACCCCAAATATGTAGCGTTAAATAGTTGGAGAATTGTGTTTATGCCAATTTGTGTCATTCTAGACACTGACGCGACAGCTAAAACGTCCTAGAAGTTGAGAAAATCAGAAACGAATATTGCTGTTTTGCGCTGAAAACGCGATTTCGGTACTGAAACTGTTATAACTCGGCTGAGTCTGGTGAATAGATTCCAAAATTTTCAGAAAAGTCTAAATAGATGATTCTCAACCTATCTTAAAATATATTTAATATTCATCATTATCTAAAATTGAAATGTTCATCGATATTGTGTTCAACGCGAAAATTAATTTGCAACCGTATTGTTTGTGTTGCCTTGAAACATTTGAGCTTCATTTGTATACTCGACCTTTTTCTCCCTCCTCACCTAACAGAAAACCATGTGTAGAAAGAATATTCCAGAAAAATGGGACTCTCTGATTAACATTTTTCTCATTGTCTCTCTATTCCTCCTCTCATTTTGTTTATTCATAAACATACCCTTCTGCTTTTGCATACAATTGATTCGAATAACCATTCATTCCATCTTTCCCCCTCTCTTCTGTGTTTTCCCTCTCAGTACATTTTTCCTTCGATTATCATCAGAAAGAAAAAAGACTCCCACAGTGTAACCCTTCTCCATCTTTTCTCACTTTTCTCCCCTCCAAAAGCTCACGTTTTGTTTTCCTGTGTTGATATCTGCTTCTGATTTTGCCACCACCACGAGGGCAGAAAGGACGAGAATGTCAACCCTAAAATTTTTTGGAGACCTGTCATTATGGACATGTCTACCCATGTTTTCAGTAAAATCAAATTTCATCTCAGATACTCTTTTTCACCAACTCTCCTGAAAACTCTTTCCATTCGTTTACAAAAAAACCGTTGGATAAAAACATTGCTCCATCAGAACTATATAATGGTTTTGGAAACGAAACAATTTTTTTGTCATATGAGTGCTTATGATGTGTTTGTGTTCATCGATTTACTCTCGGCCAGTTAGTTTCTAACAAATCTCAAATTTTATTATTTTTAGATGGATCCAGAGATAATGATTGTCTCCGGACCAATTGAGCCGCAGGATGCATGCGTCGTGCCGTCACACAATAACAACAAAACTGCGGAGCAGTACAGACCATTCAATAATGAGTAAGGGTTCGAAACATGTTTCCTGTTGAATAATTTTTTTCATCCCAGGATGCAATATTTCATTAACAGCATGATCAAGAAATTTCCAAGAACTTTCGAGTTTGTCAAAATGAAGAAAGGCAAAGTTACGACCAACATTCATGAATATCACATCTGCGTCGGAACCCGGAAAATTGTTGCCGAAATGAGAGTCACTGAGATGTGTATATTGGAATTCAGGTAAGCAAAGGGGGGGGGGGGGGGAGGTGGTCTCTGTTCCAATAGTTTAATGTTGATCATACAAAAAACTCATAAATTGCGTGGTTCTACTAGTTCTTTTCAATATGAAACAATTAAAAAATTAGATTGAAGCGTGAAAATGTACTGAACATTACTTTATCTGATTGACAAAGCCAGAAAATTATTTTTGAACAAACTTTTCTCTAAAAGTCTGAAATTAAAAACGCTATTTTTTGGTCGCACTACTCGAAATTCCTAGCATTGCTATCCCATAAAAAACCTTCCTTTTTTTAAATAAGCAATATTTCCTCGAAATAAGCAATATTACAAAAGTACCAAGAAATAAGTATATTTCAAAATTTAAATTCTGAGCAGAACTGCTAAGTATCAGGAAAGTACAGGTCCGCACTATTCAACGTTCCGCAGTTTTTTTTCAATCAAAATTTTCCCGTAAGCAACAGATGGAAAACATCTATTTGGCGGTATTGCTCAAAGTTTTGATTCATGCTTTAAACTTACATTAACAAAAATTTCATAACACGGTTTCTTCTAAAAACTGTTTTTAAATTTCTACACATCTATTCACATAAGTATTAAAAAATGTAACGAAAAATGTAAAAAAATACGACTCCAAAAATTTCACCCACTTGTTCATACTTTCAACGGCCCGGCTGACACATTCTGGCTAGGGTTCCTTGTGATTTCTTTCCCTGTTTTTTGAGAAAAAAAAAGTATTTCATACAAAATTCAAAATGTTCTGAAATTTCTAGTGTTTTCTGAGATGTGAAAACCCCGGGCCCGGATTTTTCATATATGATTTTATTAATCAACATCAAGAAAACTATCGTGAATCGATTCACAATTTCAGCGCTGTTGGAAGACCTTTCGTGATACAAGTTAATAATGAGGAAGATATTTGGCACTACACTCTTCAATTGTTCATGTTTCTCCAAGGAAGAGTGAAGGCGAATTATGTCGAAATGAGCTTGGACCGGACAGTGTTGAAGCGCGTTTGCCAACTTCTTGCTTATGAGAAAGTGCGGAATTGCAATTTGCTGGCTATGAATTTTGTGGAAGGAAATGTCAGCTACCATCCGGCAGAACTTCTATTCCTTCTCCAAAACTTACGAGGGCTGAGAACCTACGTTCATGAACCAAACTTGCCACCCCCAGTTTTTACCGTGCGTTTTATAATGAAGTACCTAATTTAAACACAATATAACATTTAGGAATCCGAAATTCGAAATGTGGCTTTGATGACCGTTCCAGTAAACATCACCTTGGCTGATGTTCTCCTCGCCAACACTTCTTATTTTGAAATTGCACACTGTTTGGAATTTGACACAAGTATCTTGTGCAGAGTGGCTCAATACTGGATCAACACAACTACAGTACTGCCCTGGAAAGTTGTGAAATGCCATGACTCGTTCGAATCATATGAGACATTACCTGGACTTCCATATGATGCGGGACGCCGTCCAACAATTTACACGTAAGTTGGGATTATTAAAGTATTAGCTCTTGACTCCTACAAAGTAGACATCTCTTTAACTTTTGGGCTTTGTACCTCTAAACTTTGAACCAATTTTTCTGCTTAACACGGAAAGTACCCGAAGTGTCTGCTCGCTTTTTCTTAAATGTTGGTGGCAAAATATGTCCCGTTTCTGGACTAGCACAAAACGGATAATATAAGGTGCCCATAGGCAGGTTGAGCAGAATGGCAAAACATTTTCTGATTTTTCCAAAAAAGTGGGTCAAGTCCATTCAAAAATTACAACTTTGTACAAATCGAAAGTAAAATGATAAACTAAATTGCATTTTGTAGAACGGGTTTGAGGCTACAAAAAACTTTATTACACATAGTGTCTATCTCTGCAATGAAACTTACTAGAATAGAAAATGTGCGAATGGTTTTGAAAAAATAAAATGGTATTTTTCGAACTCATTTTCCCGAAAACAACAGAAAAGCTCTGACATGAGAATGAAAGTTTAAGATGGTTCTGTTTCTTTTTGGAAAAAATGATCGAATCGTGATCAAAAAGTTAAAAATGTCGAAAAAAATTTCACATGGTAAAAGTGAGCATTTATAGGGGTACATGAGTGAAGCTGAAAAAAGTTTATTTTTTCAAAAATCTCTCTTAAATGAAAGGTGAGCTATATATTTGGAATGATAGTTGTGCATTATGACTTTTAAGGAATCGAATAGAGATGATCTCCCAAATACGTTTTTTCGAAAATCGGTGTTTTTTGATTTTCACTCAATCAGAACATTCGCATATTTTCTATTCTAGTAAATTTCATTGCAGAGATAGACGCTATGTGTAAATTAATTTTTGTAGCTTCAATCCGTTCTACAAGATGCAGTTTAGTTTATCATTTTATCTTCGATCTGTACAAAGTTATGCTTTTTTGAATGGACTTGACCCACTTTTGCGAAAAAAACCGAAAAAGTTTTGCCATTCTGCTCAACCTGCCTATGGGCACCTTATATTATCCGTTTTGTGCTAGTCCAGCGGTGGGTCATATTTTGCCACCAACATCTAAGAAAAAGCGAGCAGACACTTGGGGTACTTCTCGTGTAAGATACTGCGACGTAGTCAACTGACAAAGTTTCACTCTGTTGAACGATACAGTAAATTCTCTGATAAAATCCGACGTGTACTTTGAGATCAATTACCGTAAAAACTGTAATATAACGCCACCTGTAATAGAAGACCCCCTCTAAAATAACGCCACCCTTATAAGGTCTTTGTAGGTAGAAAAACACAGTTTTTATGCTTGGTTAACAAAGTAGCAGTAAAAACTAGAAATTTCGCACCACTTTTTCATTTTGGTACTTTGTCAAACAGGCAAAAAACTGATTTCTGTTACCTCGCATCATTCCAAAACACCCCACCGAAAAATAGAGCGCCATGGCGCTATATTACAGGTTTCACGGTATCTCCGTTCCTTCAAAATTTCTTGAGACGAAATTGCCAACAGATAAAATGTTTTTTTTTCTGAAATTAGCAATATTTGCTCATTTGACGATTTTTTGAATAAGTTTAAAAAAAATATCTTCCCACTCAAGCTTTTGCTTTTTTTAATTTGAAATCAAATTTAAAATTACAATTTTTTTTCCCAATTACTCAAAAATTTTAACAAATAAGACGAAGAAAATTATAGCCTCCTAATTTGACTGAATTTATGATGATGATTTCTATGATAGAAAGCGAATATTTCACCGAAATAATTTGGATCCTTTTTGAAAGTGTGTTTTATACATATTTTTCTCTGATTCTTTTGCATATGTTTTCTTTCAGCTACACAAATCCAAACACCAAAGTTTATGAACAGTTTGATACACAACACGGCAAGGATCTCATGAGAAAAGACGGTTTGATTGCTACTATTTTTAAGCATCATCCAAACGAATCAGTCTCCATTGGAATATTCGTTGTTTGGAATGTTGCCGATATAATGGTCTACAGAACATCGCTATAAAAATTTCGTCTGATTCAACTGGTACAAAAAACTTCATTCATTGATATTTGTGTTATTATCATCGTATTCTGTGTTAAAAGTAAAAGCTTTGTTCTTAAGGATGGTCTCAGTCATAAAATATGTGGTGAATTATTTCAGAAGAAAAATAACTTTAAAAGTTCAAAAAATTTTGAAAACCTTATAATAAATGCCTTGAAAAGTATTAATTGGGGATAAAATCTTTCTAATCGGTGTAAAAAATAATTTTAAATTGTTTGAAAATTTTCCCAAACCCTCCAATCTAGAAGGAAGTAAAATCAAACCGGAGAGCAAAAACTGAAAAAAAACAGAATAAAAATTTGAAAAAAAAACAGAATATGAATTTGAAAAAAAAAACAGAATAAAAACACAAAACAGAATAAAAATTTTCATGACACACCGTACACACTTCAATAGAATGTCTACTGAATTGTCGACTTAAGCCCATATATCTCATTTCCTGATAAAAATATCAAAAAGTGCTCAACTAACAATATGTTTACTATGCTATCAAAAATATTTAGTTAATTGACAATTTCTTGATATCTCTCACATGAACCGAAATATATCGGCTCGAAGTTGAAAGCTGGTGGGGCAGTCCATTGAAGTTTTTGAGGTATTGCACTATTTTCAAACCAAAATTGAAGCTTTGAAAATTGAAAGGAGAACTAGCGTAAACACACTAATAGAACGCCATCCGGGCCATCCACTTTGATCCTATATATCTCACTTCTTCTGAAAGATATCAAAAAGTTGTCAACTATTAAAATATTTATCATAATATAGACAATATTTTATCAGTTAACCATTTTCTAATATCTATCACAGAAAATGAGATACATAGGCTCAAACCTGACATTTCGGGTGGCGTTAGATTAGAGTGTTTACTGTATGTTGGGTTTTGATTTAGAGCTCTGTAAATTTTCAAAAATTTCAAAATTATATTCAAGGACTGAATTCTGTTTTTGGGATTTTAATCGATACGGTAGGACGTATGTACAAGCAATTTCTGAGTTATTGAGCGTGACGCATCTGGCTCCAAAAATGTAGCCTCGCACGAGGATTTCTAAATGTGATAAGAAAAGGAAGAACGCATTTTGAACTTTTATAAAAGTTTATTTTAATATCAAAACGAAGAAAAATGATCAATATAAGTAAATCTACCGAAATAATCCAAACGACCATTATCACAAGTTTACTGGAAGCATTTGTTCAAAATTTAAACCGGGGACACTGTGGGAAACGATTCTAGACAACGAGAAAAATTTGTACAATTTAGAATTTAAGAATCCATTTTCCATTAGAGATCAAAATAGTAAATGAGCCTTGCGAAATGTTTTACATTACTATACAAACTTTAGATTCCTCATTTTTTCCATCCTTCTTCCCATTTTTCTTCTCCTTCTTCTTTTCTTGGACAGCTTCGAAGATCATGTCCTCTCCGGCTGGTTTATCTGATGATTTTGAGCGTAGCAAGCTGCAAAAAAACGTATTCTGGTGTTTGTCAATATATTCGCGGAAGTTGAAGATTACAACACTTTTCTTCCCGAGTTCAAGTACTTGTTTGTTTTTACTAATTTTGTCAACACTGTTTTGTCCGCTGCGAAGGGTCTCTAAAAACCATTCATAGTCTGAGTCGAAGAGCAAACAAGTAGAAAAAACTTGGGAACGTTATGAAATACTACAGAAAAAAGATGTCTAACCTGGCAATTTTGGACATTCTCCGGTTACGAGTTGGTCCGGACTTGCTCAGTGATATTATCATCTGAGTGAGCACCTTTTTAGCATCAGAAGACTTGCTGGAACTGATTTCCAGGTAGGAACAACGAGATCCAAGTTCTTGAGCCAACTTCTCGCCCTAAAAGTATGACCGATTGCTTAAAAATTTCCAAGTTTTAAACTTTACCTGATCGATGACAGACGTCATGTTATCATCTAGTCCTTTCCTGATCTGTTCCATTGAATAGTGTCTCTTCATACCATCTCGGTCATCTGATTCATACCCTGGAAAAACAGGAAAATAGGACTGTGTGCGTTGGGGTGTGACATGTATGTAAGATTTCTATGATTCATGAAAAGTCACAGGTATTTTTTTGCTGAGAAAGTTTTCTGACCTTCTGATGTAGAGTTTGTATGTTGAGATGCAGTTTCTTCTAGTACCACTTCGTCGGAATCGCATATCAGCAGAATCGGAAGCTGAAATGAATTTTTTAAAGGCTCTCATTAAGTTTTTCGTGTCCAGTCATTTTTTGTTTCTATGTCTTTCCAAATGCCCTTATTGGGTTACCTCCAAGAAGTATCAAATTTCCCAATTGCCATAGGTAATGTAAATATTAAATTACATCCAGAAAAAAAACCTCCAAATAAAGAAAAGTGTTTCAAAATTTCCATGTTTACTTTGCCACTCAAATTCTTCATGTCTACGAACCCATGATCCATCAGCTGTCCGAGGTTGAAAAAAGAATGAAGAATGAGGAATCAACTCTAGCGGTGGAATGGTATTTACTCAAAGAGCAACCCGTTCAAACTCGCAAACTTCTCTCCTCGTCTTGTTAGACAAATAGTCAAAGTGGCACCAATGGGTTTTTTTCCAGCTCACTCACTTTTTGTTACTATTCCTGTGACACAGGTGTGGCAAGAGAAATGCTAAATTTATAATACCTAATTCAAAATTTTTGTGGAAAATTTCAAAGTCTACATTTCATATTTTGGTCTTTCGCCAGTATATTCACGAGTTGCTTGGGAAACAGACACTCGGGATTCATATATACCTAATCCGTGTAATTTCCGTTGCACGGAAAACAGAAGCCCTTGATGGCGTGTGACATGATAAAGATGATAAAAAAGATAGATATGCTCACGTTTTTTCGGTTCTGAAGCGGTTGAATGAGCGGCTGCAGTGCTTGAAGAGAGTCAATGTTCACCGATGAGTAGTAGAGAATCGCAAAGTCAGCGTCGGTCAGTGCCATTTCTCGGTTTCCTGTTCTAGCCTGAAAAGTTTAGATTATGTACAGTGATGGCAATAAATAAATCAAACAGTAGATTTTTATTTTTTTCAGAGTCTGGAGCTCGTTTTTCAGTTGATTTATACTATTTTCAGAAGTCTTGAGCTCGGCTGACAGAACTGTTTGAAAATTCCTAGTTTTTGGGTTATTCTCCCGTTTTTTACTCTTCTTTAGAATTCGGCAAATAACTGAAAAACTAACAAGTTTCAAAAAATTCTGTAATTGCAGAGTTTTTAATCTAGGTCTGTCTTATAACTTCTAATATTTTAAAATTGATTGGACACTCGACAATCGAACTCCCGTCTCGTTGGAGTGTACAAAATCAACTGAAAATAAGTCTTTTCGTATATTCATACCAGGTTTGAATATTATTGTACTTCAGAGAATTCTGGTCTCAATTTTCGGAACATGAAAAAATATTCGTGTGAAAAGACTACTTCTACTGACCACTGGATTTGGTATCGTGGGAAAATGTTACATTCAAAAACCTTGATGAATTTTGTATAGTCGGCATAAGCTAAAACATCTCTTGCACCCACTCGAAACCATTTTTTTCCGCTACTGATCATTCATTAGTCAATTCAACAACCGGAAAGTGTTCCCCTCCTTGCGGCAAGACACAAGTGTTTCTCACATACCTAACCTTTGCTAACTAATGTGTACCTGACAACCGGCTGACTGCTCCTCAGTCACATTCAACAGACCCATCAAATAAACATTCAAAGACTTGTGAAAACGATATTTTCTTTCAAATTGAAAACGAAAAACAGAAATGACGAAAGATGAGTTTTTGGAAGAAAACAACAACTGAAAAAGATCACTAACCAATCCTGGATCGGAGACTTCCACAACATGCTCTGCGCCCATGTGATCTAGAGTAAGATAGTGTACATCTGGATAATGAACGTGTCTCTCGTATTTTGAAGCGGCATCACAGAGCTGTTTGAACTGAAATTAAACATTCATTTTGTGAAAATGGACAGTTGTGTGGGTGACAAAGTTGAAGGATTAGCATCAATTGAACTCTGCCTACAGGACGGACAAGATCAATGAACAGTTCTGTAGTCTGTAGTGAAGAGATGGTAAATAGTTTGGTTGTGTTTCTTTTGTGACTTTCAAAACTCTTCGGTCACATTTCCAAGAGAGAGTCTTGCAGAAATTCAAGAAGGAGATTTCAAATTTTTGGGAATAGGAAAAATTGAGATTCAAAGTCCACAACTTACAAAAAGTGTCTTGTGGCCTGTTCCAAGAATTACAGCTTTCCGTTCATTTCTCGATTCTTCCTTTTGATTGGTCATTTCCGAGTACTGAAAAGCAAATTTTTATTATAATTTTATATTTTTCGGAAATCCATCTTTTTAATATTGAAAACAGGACTTTGTTCGAAATCTCAAAAAGAGAATAAGAATAAAAAGAAAAGCTCATCCGAATCAAAAAAATGAAGCAAAATGTCAAAAAAAGCCAGGAAACGAATCCGTGAATCTCTAAGTGCAACCACAACGACACAAAAAAATAGAGAGAAGACTCTTCTCTTTTTCCTTTTTTTTTCTGCGGCGGGGTCGCCAGGAAAAAGAGAGAAGATCTGTCTCCGCCCACTTTTCGCGTCGCTGTCTTTTTGCCCAGATATTCATTTAGCTCTTCAAAAATGAAAATAAAGTTGAAATATGTGAATAGGAAGTGTCTGGCAAGTTTTGAAAACAGCAAAAAAGTTGTTTGTTTGTTCAAAAGTTTGTATGGAAACGGTCTATGGTTAGGTGAGAAGATTTTTTATTGGAGTTTTGCGAAAAAAAAAACTAGAAAAAAACCTGCCTTCAAAACGTGATCAGTGTTCAATAAATGTGAATGACTTGGTTACTAGAACTGTTTGGAGATTTTGTTTTGTTCGGAAAGTCTGCTAAAAAACAAGACACAAGTTTTTTTTCGAAAAACTTGAGCAACTAGAAAATACTTTCTTTCTGGAGTTCACGAACCGTTATCAAGTGATAAGAGAGAGAGAGAGAGAGTCGTTAACGTTTTGTTGCAAAGAATGTTTTTTCAATGATATCATCATTTGATGCGAAAAGTTACGGATCTTTGCGAAAAAGTTAGCTGGAATAATTTTCTCATCATTGGAATTTTTAATGATGCAACAAGATAGGGTCAAATTTTCCAAGGGCACCTCAACACCTCGTAAACCCAGATTTTGATTAAATTTGTAGGTTAGGTCACGATTAGCCTGTCTAGATAACTCTGAGAATTTCAGAATCCGTAGTTCCAGCCGAGTTATATGAATTTCAGTACCAAAAATCGCATTTTCAGTGTAATAATAATTGAAACATGATATTTCATTTGAATGTAAGTATAACACAACAAAATTCATGTTCTGGAACCTCCTAGTAATTGAGAAAATCGTGTTTAGAAATTGCTGTTTTTACACTGAACAGGCGATTTTTGGTACTGAAATTGATATAACTGCGCTGAAACTGACGGGTGTATCCTTAAATTGAGCAAAATATGTTTTCTAAAAAAAGCTCAAGTATCATTGAGTTAAACTAACCGATTTAGTTCAAAAAAGGTCTAAACACTGGGAACAAAATCAAGTTATCTCAATTTCCTATACGTGGGTGGCTTTCTAGGTGAATTCCGCTCTAAATACTTTCATTAAGTTCATGATGAATTTTTTTTTAAAAATATTTTTTGTTCCGCTTCTGAATCATTCCTTATCTCCATCATAAGGTATTTCTCACCTTCCGCCCCAAAAACCGTTTTTGTTCGGTACTTAATCCGCTCACCAGTGAATAGTTGCTATTGTATCATAATGTGTATGAAAATCAGTGGACCGATTTGTTCCGATCGCAAAAAAATCAAAAGAAAACAGAGAAATTCGTGGGAGAGAGTGGGCAGAAGACCAAGACAATAAAAGTAAACAAAAACAGCCTCCGCAAAATTAATAGTTTGTCTGATTCGTAACAAGATGAGCAAATTATAGGAATTCTCTTCTTTCGTTTTTTGAATTCTCGAATATTCTTCTTTAAAAAGTGAAATTTTTTGTGTTTACTAGTCAGAACTCTGGCACACGAGGCACTTTTTACGACACATGTCCAAACAGTGCTCGCGGATACTGGAACTTGTGTGTCTCTCGCCCATAACTGTGTGTGGTTTCTAGGTTTTTCATGATAAAAAACATATGAAAATGAAATTGTCTGCCTGAAAACGTGAGGAGTGTGCAGATCAAACACACAGGACGACTCGAGTCACAAAACACGCTTTGGGAAGTATTGGGGGAAGTGTAGGGTCACAACGTTTGTTGACCCATGAAAGAGGGGCCTTAACTTTACCATTGAGTGGTAGAGAAATGTGAAAAACTGTTGAAAAAAAAACGAAAAAAGAGACATTTTTCCAGCGAACACACGACCTGTCATACTTTTTCGATTCCTCTACAGTTTCCTTTTAACATAACTCACCTCGTTAGAGTCATTCGATTCTTCTCCATCACTATGCGACATTCTCATTGTGTTCTTCTTCTTCTTTTTTCCAGTATTTCCGGAAACAACTTTTACTTTGATCTGTAAAAAGTAATAAGAAAAAGTATAAAAACCATCAAAATGTACAAACTATAAAATTGAATGGAAAGTTTAATGAATCAAAAAATAACTGTTTTTTCCTTTAATTTTCTTATTGTCATTCATTATTCTTGTGACCGCCGTGACTGAAAAAAGCAATGTGACAAGAAAAAAGAAACCAAAAAAAGAGAACACAGAATTCAAAATCTATTTTTGACGTCTCCATAGTGAATTTCGGGACGGCATGATGACAAAAAAAAAGAAGAAATAAGTGAGCATCTTTGAAACAAGTCAAAGTTTAGAACATTAAAAATTCTAGGGAGGAAGAATAGCTCAATTTTGGATGGGAGGTCTGTAAGGTATTTTCAGAACCTTGATAGTACAAAAATTCAAGGAAAGTGGAAAGCTAGTTTTCTCTCAAAAATCAGACATTGAATTCTGAGGCTAAAAAAGAAAAAAAATCTGAAAAAAATAATAACAAGGTGTACACCAAGAAAAATATATCAGAACACACTCTGTTCGCATTGAAAAAAAAACAAACATTGATTAAAATTTTTCAAATGACTTTCGAAATATGAAGTTTTGAAAATAAATTATTATTAGAAACCGAACCATGAAAACTACTAGAATATATATTTTAATATAGAAAAAAGTAAGAATTTGGAAGTAGCTATGTCAAAAATTGCTTATGAAACACCTGGTTCTTTTATCCAGAAAATAAGAGAAAGAGAGAAAAACTAATTTTATCCTGCGGTTACTGCATAGCATTGTGACAAATTTATAACAAGAATTCACGGCTTTCTGCAAAATTTACTCCCAATACACAGATAAGATATTGAAAGTTACTCTTGAAGCTTTGAAATTTGGAGGAAAAAGCAAAGAAAAAAGTGCGAAGGAGCAAGAAAGCTGGTGTATTGACACCGCGACTGATAATGCGTAATTGCACACACATACCGACTTGCACGTGCTCTAACCCCTGAAATAACAGGTACCTGAATTGACTTCTCTTATCAACAAAATTAATTTGTTGTATCAAAAACCAGGAGGGGCAGACAAACGGAAGTGAAGAGCATATGAATTCAAAATTCAAAAATCGAATCACTACGCGTGATTAGTAAAGAAAAAATAGATTGCTAAAATTTAAACACTCAGAGATTTTGAATTGGAAGAAAAACTGATGAAAAAATTATTTTTTGAAACCAAATATAATAAGTCTTTTGGAACTGATCTGTCCAAAATGCCCATTTTTCTGTTTTCGATTTCAAAATAGTCGGAAAAACTAAACATTCACTGGAACGTGCCAATAGAGAAGTTCTGAAAATGAAAAAGTTCTGAGAACTGAAATAGTGAAAATTGGGTTAAAGTGAAATTTCTTATGATTAATAATGGATAAGAAATACAAGGATTTTCGGCTCTTTTCTAGTTTAGAGGTCCAAAAAAAGATTAGAGGTCCGAAAAAAGATTAGAGGTCCCAAGAAAAAATAGAGGTCCAAAATTTGACAAACGCACAGATATTGGAATAGTGTAACAGAATTTGAACTGTGTAAGAAATAAAAATTCTGGGGTCTTATTTAAAATATAAATGTTGATGATGTATTTTATACTTTTGATAGGCTTAGGGATGCATATTTTCTAAAAATTATCTAAGCCTGGGAGAAAGCTTATTCACGGAGGCATTAATGTTTGCCAACATTTTGCTTATATGTAAATTGGGGTTCATAAAAAGGACAAAAAATAAATGGAGCCAAAATTATTACGAGAAGTCACATTTCCGCTCTTATCATCCTATAGAGCCTCAAAACCCAAAACTCAAATTCTGCACATTATTCCAATATCTGTGCGTTTTTCGAATTTCGGACCTCTATTTTTTCTTGGGACCTCTAAACTTTTTTGGGACCTCTAATTTTTTTTCGGACCTCTATTTTATTTTGGGACCTCTAAATTTTTTTGGGACCTCTAAACTAGAAAAGAGCCGGATTTTCAAACTTAAATTTTTCAAGGTAGGTTAATTTGGTGAAGCGGAGTTTGATGTCGATTTTGTACTGAATCAAACATTTACAGAAATTGCAAAAATTGAATTTATTGTAACTGTGTAAATTCAAAGTGTCTGCGAAAAATTCATCAAATCTTTTTTTTATTCGGAAGGAGTTAATGCAAATGTCTAAATAATCTAACAAACTTCGTTGAATGAAACTGAAACTTATACTCGTCTACTCAACAAAAATTGAGATTCAATGTTGAAGTTTTCATACAATTTCATCCAAATATCGTTGGAAACCAACTAAGCGCCAAAATAGCCAAAGATAGAGTTCTTCACTTAAGCAATTTATATCATTTGGATGAATCCGCAGGAAAAAAGCTTCCAACAAAAAGTCACAGCAAAATTCTATTTTTCCTTAGAAAGACTTGAAAAATATTAGTCTGTTCCAACAGAATTTACAATCTTTTTCAGACGGATAAACTTGGATATTTCCTACTAACAAAATAGATAAGAAGGAGAAGTACGAAACTATTATAATTCAACTTAATTTTTCACATATTTAGGTCATTTATTTATTTTAAGTACAAAATGTGAATGTACTGGCTTCATGTGGTAGAACCGTTTAGGAGCCAGATTTTGAAAATATCCAGGAAAAACTTCAACAAAAAAAGCAGATTTATACACACCGTAATTCCTCTTATCAAGACCATCCCATCCGCCAAGTTTGAGCTCAACTATCTCAATTCCTGTGAAAGGTATCAAACATTAGACAACTGATGAATCATTGCTGATATTATCGGAAATAATTTGTCAGGTATCATTTTTGAATTTTTTCACGGGATGATTGCGGTCAAAATTTTTAGCGGTAATAATGTAGTCTTCTTTGAGAAATTGAAAGTGATTCGTTCCTGAAAAACAGAATTTCCGAGAAGTATTATGACTGTGCTTTCTCTCCCCAGTCCAAACTTTGGACTTTACTACTTGAATTTGTAAATCAGCATTTCAACACTTTGCAATTTAGATTTCTTTCTTTTGAATGTTCAACCATCCGTAGCTTCATTTCTTTCTCTCCATCTTTGCAGAATGGCTCAATTAGGGTCAAACACAGGGAGGACAAAACAAGTTTTTGAAACACATAGTGATGCTCCTAGATAGAAAAGAAAACGAGTAAGAAGACATTTCCTTCCCTTCATCATCTTTTTCTTCAATTCGGGGTCTCGACTCCTAGGGGCCTATTCGCCGGTTCCTGTGTCCAGTCCGCCGCTCACTTTCCATGCTTTATTGAAGGAGAGGACTTCGTCCAAAAGTGCTTCTTGTATGTGTATGTGTCCCCTTTTCTGTCTCATCTTCATGTTTTTGGGACGGGGAGGAGGAAAGGGAGGAGGAGTAACAGGGGCCTGGTGGAGAACTACAAAAAATAGGATTATGATGAGAGTCATGTTAAATTTCTTTAGTGTCCCAGCTGTTTTTCTTATTTTTTCTGCTCTGTTCGAATGTTCGCTTTTGTACAACGAATTTTTCTCTGAGAATTTTCTAGATATTTTTAGAACTTTGGGAGCGAAGCCTTTATTCATCCTGAGAATATAGCTAAATCTGTAATAAGCATCATATGCAAACATTCCCCGAATTTACCAGTCAGAATCTGTTTTCGGGGACATTCATCAAAAATCCAAGTTTCTTGGATAGTGAGAGTCGGCGGCAGAAGAAAACGAAGACTAATTTATGTCAACCTGATGGGACACCCACAATAAAAGAAGGAGGAGGACGCCCATACGGAGAGCCGAAGACAAAGGACAACAACTCATAGCCGTATCAGTATTTATCGGTCCCCAGGCGCATATATCCACTTCCAGGAGGATGTCACAAAAACCAAATAGCCTCCGAGAAAAAGTAGATACCTAAGCGCATTCCAAACTTATTTTTCCATTTTTCGTATTTCGAATATTTTGTTCATCTTTTTTTGAAACCTTGTTTTTACGGTTATTAAGGATTCTCGAATTTGATATTTTGTAAGGTTCCTATTTTTTTAGAGAAGTTTGAATTTCATTATCTGTGTCTTGTTTACTGTAAATGCTCTAACCGAAGCCACCCTACACGTGCATTTTGAGCTCAATTACCTTGGTTCCTTGAAGAGGTATTTGAAAATTTTCAATTGATAAATGATTCATCATGAGATACCCGTTATTCATTTTTTGAAATCTTTGGAAAACACCGAGATAATTGTACTCAAATTTCATATAAATAGCGGGATTCTATTTGAGCATTCACGGTAACTGGAATCATCCTCTCCTCTACTTTCAATAGATTTTGTTTTACTTTTCTGTTCAGATTTGGAACGAAAACTCGTTTTGCAACTTTTGCTCCTTTTTTAACTACTCATTTTAGTTCCCAAGCTAATTTTTAAACGAAAAAACTTGTTGTTTCTCCCGTTCGGACCCTTAATTACTTCCCCAACTTGACTTCAAGGAAACAGGATAAGGCATTCTTCTAGAAATGCATTGACAAGTCACATAAAAGACACAATTATATGGAAAAAACAGAGGAACATATATACGGAAAAGGCGGATTACCCCTCGCTATTGAATATGTCGTTACCTTGTCCGTGACAAGAAGAGGTAATAGTTTTTGTTCGGTCTGCGATGAAAACACTTCAGTCTCCTATTCATCTTCTTCTCGAAAAAGAGAGTAATCAGCTTCTGTGAGAGTTTTCAAAATTGTGTATTGTTGTGTGGGAACTCCTTCTATTTTTTGATAAGGTACGTTCGGAAACCAAAACATTTGAAATTTAAAATTAAGGGGTACGGTAGCAATCCTTTTTATCTATGAATTAGCTTCATGGATAATTCTTTTAGTTCCCTGTATCTTATGACCATTTTCCCTTACAAACAAAAAAAAAGAAAGATGAACGACCAGAAAGAAACTACGTAGTAGGAACCCACAGGAAATGAGCGATTATTATGTCATAGTAAAGAAAATATTGCAGCAAAATATTCACATTTCCCACCCACTTGCTATTATCGGTCATCAGAAATTGTTCATTTGATCCTAGAGGAATCAGAAGACTTTACAATTTGAATTTTAAATTCCGAAGATTTTTAACGAATAATTCGGTTAGGTTCACATATACCGTACATACTCTATGAAAATGCAGCCCAAATCATCAACCTTGAGGCCAATTATCTCGATTCCACTGAAAGGTATCAAAACGTTGTCAACTGATAAATCATTTATCTTCACCAATATTTTATCAGTTGACAAGTTTTTGATATCGTTCGCGAGAATCAAGATAATTAAGCCTGAAGGGGGGTCGGTGCTATAAGGGGAAATACGGCAAGCGTTCCCAAAAATTGGGACAAGTAACCCAAATTATTTCAAAATTTTTTTTATAACGTTTGGAATGATCTTTTCGGAATTTTTCGGAGTGCCGAAAATTCCAATTATGAAGTTTTCTAAATATCGAAATATTCTGACTTTTAAGTTTTTGGAACTATGGATCATTCCGATTTTTGAAATTTCGAAATTTCGAAATCTTCATAATTTTCTAACATTCCATTTTGAAGTATAGATATTTAATTTTCAATCACAAAAACACAGATAATTGGTGTAAAATTGACAAGGTGATTTTGAAAACGAAAAAAATTTATGAGTAACTCCGTCCAAAACCAACAAACATATTTTTGTGTGCGCTTGTGACATACCGTAGTTCACAAATCAACAATTAAAAAAAAAACTTCTGATATATTTTTTGTCCGAAATTTGATTCTGAAAAAATCTTCCGAAAAAAAATTTCGACCGGAAATTCAATCCGAAAATGGCCAGAATTATTTTGAATTCCGTTCCGAACATCCCTGCTACTATAATAATTCTAATTTTGTCCCGAAAAATTCAGACTCCTTTGTCCCATTCATCAGTTTGATTTACGATCTGATGGGTTCGTCCTTTTTTCACACTTCTCCTCATGGCGAACACATTTGAGGGACACCTCTGTTTGTCAAGTGGTGGTACGACGAACGACTCTTTTTTTTCAGTTCGACCACAATTTTTCACACATGACAAATTTGAATCTATGCTTGTTTTTTTCTCCTCAAGTTTTCATTGTCTTTTCCGTGTTGTGTTGTTGTGCACTTTTCGGCTCCCGGACATTTCGCAGCCGCGACATTTCGCAGCTGGACATTTCGCAGCCGCGACATTTCGCAGCTGGACATTTCGCAGCCAGACATTTCGCAGACAGACATTTCACAGCCGGACATTTCGCAGCCTCTGGTAACGTCAGAAAATCAGAATTCCAAGTTCCTCGGTTTCGAAAAAAGTTTTAATGTCAGAAATTGAATTTTCGAAGAATTCGGCTGAAAAAAATCAAATTTCAGCTGAAAAAATAGCAAGCAAATATTCAATCAATTGAAAAATGCTAAATCTTCATTGTTATTCAGAATTTCTTTTTAAAATGTAAGATTTTAGAAAGTTGGAATTCGAGAAGAAAAAAAAAGAAATTCTAAAAAATATCATAACAGTGAAGATTTAGCCGAATTCTTCGAAAATTCAATTTTTGACATTAAAATATACTTTTAACCGAATAATTTGGAATTCTGATTTTCTGACGTTATCAGAGGATGCGAAATGTCCGGCTGCAAAATGTCTGGCTGCGAAATGTCTGGTTGCGAAATGTCTGGCTGCGAAATGTCGCGGCTGCGAAATGTCCGGTTGCGAAATGTCCGGGAGCCCACTTTTTAAGTAGTGGATTCGAGCATTGAATTCAACTCCGGGAGATCCGTACTGAACCATTGAAACTTTCCTAATTTGGTGAAGGATGTTGTGAGAGTGACCTTAACCTGATTACTCAATCTAATCCTCGAATCTTGTTTCTTTTTTCCTTAAAATTAGTTTTCTCATGTACTTTCAATAGAAATTTTTCCATAAGATGATTCTCATTAGTTACACTACCTTCTTAATAGTTTTTTATCTCACAGTCTTTTTTAATAATTTCTAGAAAAAATTCAGTAGATTTTGGAAGTCTTAGCCTTTTGCAAAGAAGCTTTTTTTTGCAAATCTCGGAAGTTTCCATTTCAAGAATCTGCTAGGAAGGCACGAGGAGGATTTAATATTTGGGCGTCGTTTGGCCAAGATTAATTTCAAACCGATTTCCGTCTCAAGCCATATTTCACCATTTCACACGCCTCCTCCTTCCTATCGCTTTGCCTTCTCCAAATTTTTTCGCTGTTGTTCTACGACAGCTTTCAGAGCAGCCGCCAAAAATTCCTCTCGTTTACACACGTCCACGGCTCCTTTTGTCTTTGTTCCGGGGGTCCGTACGGAGCGTCCCCCCCTTTTCTATCTACTACCAACTACTAATCTCATAAGCGGGAAGAAGGAGAATAAATTTTGTTTGTATTTGTATTCGGATTCTAGTTCAAGTAAATTTAGGAACTCTGGATGCGAAGGAGTCCACTTCTTGTAGCTGTACAGTTTGTCATTCTGATAAAGTCATTGATAAAAATGTACGAAGTGTTTTAATTCTCATCAAAGTATTTAAAGCTGCTATTAGTAAGCTACAAAGAGATATCAAACGCAAAAATAAATTAGACATCAATGAAAATATGTTTCAGGTTGCTGTATTCAAAAAAAAAAGATTTGAAAAGGCTTGAAGGAAATTTTCTTACTCTCTCGGAAGTATCAGATGCTCCAGATAGAAACAAAAAAATCACTTACAACCCATTTTTCTAAGGAGTATGACCTAATGTTGATAAGATTTAATTTTTTGTATTCTATTCAAAAGTTTTCGAGGAAGACTCCGCCCAAAAACTGTATAATGTAAAATGTGAAAACTATTAGTACCTTGCCCAATTTTGGAAAGGTGTAGAATATTTTCTTTTTTTGGATAAATTGAGAATTCAAATATTTTTCAACACATTCAGATGCAATGAAAAGTTTTGGAAGAAAAATATTGTATTGCATCATAAACATTAATTACGAGTTTCTGTAATTTTAAGACACGTCAGGTTTTTTTTCGTAATCGTTGTTTGAACAACATATTTTAAAAAGCTACAGTGATCTTCCCTTCAAGATTCAAGTTCAGTATACAATTCAAAAACTGAAAATCAAAAAATCATAACTTTCAAGCGCTTATGTTTCTTTGTTTTTCCTAGAACCGACTCCCCGTCTCCAGATGTTTGGTCTAACCTTTTCTTATTTCGAGTTCTGCTCATCTTTCGTTTATTACTACATTTATTACTTTCTCTCACTTTTTCTTTTCTCCTAATGCATCAGTTTTAATTAATAAGTCTCTAATCGGAATTTCGTAGGTTTTTTTCTAATTTATTGCTTTTAATGGGGTAATTTAAAAACCCGGGAAGCCATGTCTGGCCCATTTCAGACGAGTCTTCTTAAAAATTCTACTGATAGTCGTTCTCAATGACGTTGCTTTCTGTTGTCTTTTTTTTTATTTATCCTTAGTTTTTCTTCTTGTCACCATCTACTACATTTTTTATGTCTCAAAATCTTGCGGAACGACTTTTTTATAGCACTTTCTGTATATTTTTCGTTCCAGAGAGGAGCATCTCAAAGAACTAGGAATACTCGGTTTTCCTTCTTTTCCTATCAAAAATTCACAAGATATATAATAATGAATAAATTATCCACGAGCACATCAACAATGGTGTTCTTCCTCACATCATTTTTTTGCGAATGACAGAATATTAAAAACATATCAACAATAAATTTCTAGTACACTCCTCATCTATCAATTCCCTCCAATATTTGTTCTCCCAATTGTTTCAATTGGTTTTATGAATAAGAAATGTACTATGCGTACTTGAAGTAATAAATTTCGCATAGTAATAATTGAGTCCCTTTCTTTAATCTTTCTATTCATTCTTTTCTTCCCCCATTTTTCAATTTTCACAACACATGAGAAGCCCCCCCCCCCTTTTTCTCCCCTTCATCTGAATCATGATCGTCGTTTCAATTGTACTCTTAATCCCGTTCATTCAGTTTAAAGTGATAGAATTACGTTTTCTTTCAGTTCCTTGTTTCCAGGTTTTATTCATAGGCGAGTCGCCGCCTGGAAATGCAATCATGGCGATTACAGTAAGCGAATTGTTGAATGGAGTAGCGTCCAGGCTTGTATACGGTCAGTCCAAACATGTAGCACCGTATGGCACAATTTTCATGTATTGTGATTTTTGGGATGTTTTTAAAAATTAGGTTTAACGAGAATTACTGTGTTTCCTCAAACAACAGCCCACCCAAGCCATCAACTGTGAGCTCAGTTATTTTGATTCCTGTGCAAGATATCAAAAACTTGTCAACTGATTAATTATTCAAAATTTTATCAGTCGACAACTTTTTGATATCTTCCACAGAAATCGAAATACTTGAGCTCGAAGTTTACAGTTTGGTTGAGCCTCTATTAGAGGAAATACGGTGGATGTTTTTATTGAAAATCTGAACTCAGTTGTGAAAATTTTGAACTAATGTATTTGAAAAATGTATGTTTGTCTGTGAAATCATAGAAATCACTAAAAAGCAGTTTACAATTTGATTTTCAGTTTTTTAAAAAATGTTTTGGATTGCTGTTGGTCCTCTTTGTTCACAATTCCGTTTTATTATTCCAGATTCATTATTTAGTACTCAAACGTTCATAAGATTTAGCGATTTTTGGTTCGCCTCGAATATAGTATCAATTTTCGGTTGTTGACCTGGAAAATCTTTTCGGGAAGCTCTAGATGTTTTTTAGATATGCTAATTCAGAATTTTTTGTTATTATATGTCATCCATAAAAAAAATGTTCTCACCGCTTTCAGAAGGTTCTCCATGCGATAGTCATCCGTGCTGGAATGAGGGAAAGTGTATTTTAAACGGGTCATCAAGTTATCATTGCGAGTGTCCACCGGCTTTTATTGGTCCACAGTGTGAATATCGGGTACGTGTACTTGTTCCCTATATGAACCTAAATTATTATTCAGCTTTTTGAAATTTGTCGTTCCATTCGATGCCGGTCGTCTACATCCCCGATTTGTCAAGTCGGAAGTTTCTTTGCCAACTGTTCATTTGTGAATCAACAAGGTACGTGTGAAATAAGCGACACCACGGACCAAAACTCAATGAACGAATAAGACGGAAAAAAACCGGCGTACACATTGTTGTACCAAATGACTGACAAAGAATAGGAGCCAGAGAGTTTGAGGCACCGAATACTTGATGAACTCTCTTTCTCTCTTACAACTTCCTTTCTGGCGTTGTGTTTTCTTGCAAAGTTCGGGTCTTCGTGAAAAAAAAGAGCAAAAGACATTGGCTTTAAACCCACTTCCCAGAATGTGTTTCAATTTCTCTGTTTCAATGTTTATTTAGTTTTTTCTTCATTTCTTGACACGTTTCGTTTATCAGAAGAGACGTTCTTAGCACTCGTGTCAGAAAAAAAGAAGTCATTCTGCAAAAACAAGAGTGCGACTTTTTAAGTGGATCTGAATGTGAGGACAAGGAAAGTCAAGATGGGAGGATGCGTGTATGTGTTTAACTGACTTGAAAAAGCTTGGAAATGTATGCTCAGTTAGGTCGTGTGAGTTTAGAAAACGATAGCTCTGAAGAACGTTTCTTCGCAAGAGCAGATTCTGATTTCTTAGAAGAAGAAGCGCGTGCATTTTTAGATTGTGGGAATAGAAAACACCATTGATTCCTCTTTTGTTTTTCAATTTGTGAATACATAGCTCATAGAACCGTATAACTTTGAAACAATTTATTTCTATCCCTGCAAGAAATATCGAAAAATGGTCTGCTGGCGAAATATTTTTAATGTTTGTAAAATATTACACCAATTTTTCGAGCTTTTTTATTTCAATGTGAGATTTCTATTTTTAAAATTTTGAATGCTAAAATGTTCTAAAGATTTCAAAATTCCGTAACTTCAAAAATCCAAAAATTTCAAATTACCGAAATGCCCAAATTTTCAAAATCGGAATACTTCAAAATTTCAAAATTCCAATATTCCAAAATTCTGAAAATCAAAAACTCTGAACTCCGGAACTTTCAAAATTAGAATATCCCGAATTTCCGAACTTCTTAAAGTTTAAAAATTGAAAAAACCTGAAAATCCAAAATGTTGAAACCAAAAAGTTCTGAAACTCCCAAATTTCAGTATTTCAAATTTTTGAAAATCAAGAAAAATTTCCGGAAAAAAGTCTTATTCAAACACTTTTTAGGCTTTACGGTATGTTAGTCACAAAAACTGTTCCTCTTTATTACCTAAGTTTTGCTTTGACCTCGCTCAGTCTTCAATTCATCTCTCCATAAAAATCTTTGACGTATCTCTCTATTAAAAATTCATTACGCAAACATAGTATTATTTTTGAAACCTCTTTATCCTTCATTACACAGATTTCGTATATAAATGACTTCAGTTCTTTTTTTTTTCTTAATTTTTTCTTGTTTCTATTTTACATATCAAACATACATTTGCACTTTTTTTTGAATGATAATTTCTACTTGATCTTCGGGATAGCTCAAACTTCTGAATAGTTTTTTTTCTCTTTTCCAGAATCTTGACATGTCTCTACATTCGTTCTGACAGAGTTAGTCACCATAAAGAAGTTTCTACGAAAAACAGCCCAATTATTATTCCATCATTCTTCCTTATTGTTTCCCGTCTTGTAGCTTCCGGTGGTTTCCCACTCAAATTCCACCGTACCACTTGCACTAATTGGGACATAGAGCACCCTTTCATAACTGAAGTGCTGAAAATTGAAAAGAAGAGATTGCTCCGCCCATAGACTCCCAGAAAACAGAAGTTGAAATCAGAATGTTAGAAGAATCTGAGAAAAAGGAAAAGAATAAGAAGAAAGAAAACTCCGACACACAGCTCCGACACATTTTTGTGCACACAAAAAAGGTGCTTTCCCCCTCGCCACCCCTTTTTCCCCATTTTTCATTGCTCCACTCGAGCGAAAAACAAAACATCTTATCCATTAGTGAAATCTGGAAGAAAGAAGAATAAGAATAAGAAGAAAATAGTGAAGGGCCAAGAATAACTCCCTCGATTCGTTAATCGAATACTTTCTCTTCCAATTTTAAACAATGGCATTCTCTTATACTCCCTACCATCTTTTCTTCAATCTCCCGCCCAGACGATGTAAGTTAACAACTTTTTTCTTTTTGCTTATTTGCTCGGGAAGGAATTAGACACTTTTTCTAGTTAGTTCCGGATTGTGTCTTTTTGGTGAAAAGCGAGAATCATCTATATTTAGCAATGATCACTACAGGAAACATTATTCTGCATTTGGGTAGGTTTTCTTGTGGGTTTCATGGTATTGTAGTACGGTAATCAAAGTACCGTATTTTCCTTAATGGACGCCCGAAGCGTCAACTTTGAGTTCAGTTATCTCGATACCTGTAAAAGATATCAACAATCCGTCAACCGATAAATTGTTTATCATAACATCACAAATATTTTACCAACGGGCACCGGTTTAATATCTTTCACAGGAATCGAAATAATTAAGCTTAACGTTGACGATTCGGATGGGCTTCTATCAGAGGAAATACGATATTAGCTTTATGTTTCACAATTATGAACACCTGGAAAATCAAAACCTTAAAAAAATCAAACTGAAAATAGGAAAATTCAATGTCTCCAATAACATGCTCTGACCCCTCGTGTCAGAAAATAAAACTTCCTTGTAAAAATTCGGACAGGAACACTCGAGAGACCTACATGTCACTTCTTCACACTTTTAGTTTCAAATCCTTGAGTTGTGCGTATCCTCTTCCTTCCTCATTGAGTTATGATACGATGATGGAATTTCCGGGTTAATTAATTTTTGAACTTGTGCTTATCGCTCTTTATCATATTCTTCCTGATAAAAATTCGTCTATAAAGGTTATAGTTCCGTCTTTCTAGACGGGCGAACTAGACTTCAACCTTTCAACTTGATAAAAGTTTTCCACTAGAATTGAGTGGGAAATCCAATTCAGTAGTAATCCAATTCCGCCTCCTGAAAACACTTTTGTCTTACAATTGTTTATGTACTATTCGACATGAATCTTTATACTGTTTCGCATTATTCAGAAACTTTTTTTCGAAGTCTATTGAATGTTAAAATTTAGGATCACATGGTTGAACTTTAAAGCTACAGTACCGGCCAATAAGGTATACAAAAGCAAGCTTTTCATTTGATTTTGATCATTGTCTAGATTGAAGAGCTCGATTGTGTCTGATCACATTGAAAACATCGGAGGTTATAAAACAGACCTGGATTAAAGTTCTGCACTCATAGAAATTTTTGAAAATTACCAGTTTTTCAATTATTTGCCAATTTCTGGGACACACCTATACTTCTATTTTTGTTGAAACGTGGAAAAGTGCCCTTTTGAAATCGGGAGAAATCTGAAAAAAATAGGCGTTTTCAAAAAAGTTCTTCAAAAGCATAATTTTGAAACTAGGTTTGTTTTAAAATCTCCAATATTTTTAAAGTGATCGGACATTTTACAACCTAGCTTTAGATTCTTGAAAATGGTCAAAACCAACCGATAAAAACGTTTACATATTCTTTTGGCAGATACTGTACAAAATCGGAAAGCATCTAATTCAGGCTTACATGCTACCATTGCATTACTAATGAGATAACGTTATGTGCTCTATCAAGCAACTGATGTTCATACTTTCTTGTTACTTTTAAAAATTACAAGAAAATAAATTTCACAGTGATTTGTAGGCTGTTCACTTTTCTTGAAAACAAAAAAATCAGACAGTTTTTACCTAGAAATGATACCAAATCGTTTCTACAAAATTGTAAATTTTTATATTTTTATATTTCCAAGAATATATCCTTGTGTTTTGAGTTTATTTCTTGGTGCAAATTTGATTTTTTGACTCTTATACCAGTCACACACTCTTGGGTTATGTCCTAATTGAATTCGGAAATCTTATTACAGAAAGTGCTAACACAAACCTGAGAACATCAGTTCTTGCCGATCAAGGATTACTGTAGCACTAAATTTTGTTTCTCAAAACACTTTCGTAGTTATTTTGAATTTTTGCGCTTATGAATTTATGTGCTGCTTTTTGCCTGCTTCCAGAAATTCATTTTTCTTCTTTCCCAATTTTTCCCTAGAGATTTTCTGAAGAGGAAAAATTCACTTCCCGTCTAAAAGTCAAAGGGTATGAAGACAGAATTTCAGTGGCAGAGTCGGAATTCCCATGAAATTTTGTCTGTGCAGTTTTTTGAAACGTTTCCGTAATCCCAATCCTACAAAGTAAAACAAATTGGAATTCGGGTTTTTTTCTTGCTTCTATTTTTCCGACTTAGTGTCTCTAACCCATAATGGGTTCATTTAGTGGTATTTTTCCTACTTCATTTGCAAGTCACTGACTTGACTTTTCAAAAGACACAAAGATCTTCGAAAAAGATTTCCCGGAAAAAACCGACAGCGAAGAAAACGGAGAAACATTAAAAATCACATTTGCCCTTATATTCTCTTTTTTCATTGTCCCAAGTTTCAATTACTGTACTCCTATCATCAGGATGATGTACCTACTTGCAAAGTGTAAGTTTACTTTTGTATTTTGTGATAATTTATGATCAATTCGTGTGTGCAGAACTTTTTAAATCACTTTAAAAGGTCCCGTTGGTTTTTTGTCCGCCAAAAAAGTAGGGGAAACGGGAAACAATTGAATTTGCATTCAATCAGTTGCAATTTGAAAGTAACAAGAAGAAACTTTTTGGTGGTCAGACAACTATTACATTTAAAACATTTATTTTTTGTAAATTAAAAATAAGTGAATTGGTTAAAAATAATTAGCTTTGAAGTGAATGACTAGAAAATTGTCTATGAATTTTAATGATCTCAAAGTTTCGAGCAGTTTTGCTCCAAGGATCATCTCATCCGATTTTTCGAACTCGCTGAGATCCCTTGTCCATTAAAACGTTTTGATATCAAGCACATTATCAGCAGGAAAATTGTGAACGGGCTTTGAAATCCGAAAATTCGGCAAAATACCTAACGACTTTTTCCTATCAGAATTTTCGGAGCTTTTTTTTGAATTAGAGGTTTTTGAACTACGGTATTTCAAACGGAACTACTTTTAATATATTTTTGTTAAAATCTTTCTGTCAATTTTCACCAATTTTTGACGTTTTTGTGATGAGAAAATGGAATTTATACTTTGAAATTTGAGTTTTCAATAATTCCGAAAATGTTAAAATGTGATTATTCCGAAAACCCCAATTTTCAATGTTGGAACATTCCGAAATTTTGAAATTTTGAAAGCGGGAATTTTCGACATTCCAAAATATTCCAAGCGGCGATTCCAAACTACCCTAGCCTTGCCCTTTAAAAAATTTAAATATCCAACACATTCATCAGTTTTGATAGCAATTCGTACATCCTTCATTAGATCTGATTTTTCAAATTCTTATCACAAACCAAGTCTTTTATCATAAGATTAGGTAAAATCTTCTCCAAGAAACTGTATACTATTATTTCAAAACAAACAACTATTTTTTTTTTAATTTATGCATCTTGGTACTATTCATAATTTTTTTTCCAGGAAAAAGTCTGAGATTTGAAAAGTACAGACATGGATAATAAGTTGGATTTTTTCATTAGACATTCATGTTTGATTAATGAGCCACGGAGGGAGCCACGGAGGGAGCCAGCAGGGTGTGCGCTTTTTCGAACGCTCTCTGCTGAGAAACAAGGGCGACACGTTTAAAAACAATTCACGTTTTCTCATTGGAAGTTGTAAGTAAAAAAAGACTCCGTATCGATTTTTTACAAATAACACTTGCTGCGCAGCCACGTTGATTTTTAAAATTTGAATTACCGCCAGAGTGCAGTGGAGCGCGCTCATTCAAAAGCGAACACCCTTCCACCACGTGATGAGCGTCTACGCTGTTCATGCGGAAAAGAACTTTTCCTCGGCTGATCTCAAGTGGAAGATAGATTTAATATGTATGATTAAGTGATATACGTCTAGAGGTTTTTTAAGGCGGGATACTTCCTGGCATGGCTTCCACCAATTGACGTCTAATTTGTAGTCATAGAACCAAGGATTTCGAATCCGGATAGACGTGTCAAACGTGAAGTGTCAGTATTTTTGAAGTGTGCTTTGGTTGAAAATTGGTGTGTCAAGAGTTCAGCTCTCATTAAAATAAAATTGGGATTTCCATGTTTCGTCTGAATTTGTCATACCAATTTGAAACCAATTATATTTTTTAACCGGAAGCCTATCATTTTATTTTCTTTCGTTTTCTTTTTGCCACCTTTTCATCGATCAAAATTTAGAATTCCTAGTCGACAATTTATTTCTTTAAATCCATTCGTTGAAAGTTTTCAAAAGGAATTCTTCTAGTTAAGCTATGAAGAAAAAAACGTTTGTCTGAGTTTTCTGTTTTGTTTATACATCGTTTTTGTTTTGTATTGAAACCGGAAACAAATAAAGAAAAAAACATCAGTCCTAATGAACTTCGAAGAGCTCTGAACTTTTCAAGTGTCGTATCTCCCTTGTCACTTTCAACTTTTTCTAATGAGTTCCTATTTTCTATCAGAAAAAAAAAGGAATTCTTAGGATCACGGTGTTTTCGTCTTGAGCTTGAGACCCTTTTCCGTTCGTTTTCACATGTTTTCTTATTAATGCCGCGAGGGAGAAAAATGGAACAATTGTGATGTAACTTATTTTTTTTCCTGGATGTGAGATTCCCAGAAATCAAAATCCAACAAAATTATAAATTATTAAAAGGCTTCTACATAACCTTTTGACAGAAATAAATCAGGTCAAAAGCCAAAAAAGTTTTTTTTTGAATATGCAAACACAGCATATGTTGAAAAAAAAACAAATCCCATTTAATCCTCTTACGATTTTACTAGAAAAAAAACTTAGGAGTTCACAATCATCTCTAATTTTTGCTCCGTGCTCTTTTCCCCTCCGTTACACATCCATCCACATCTTTTTTCCATTATCTCATTTCCGGTGCCCTCCCAAAAAAAACTAATCGGATAGGATTGAGAAAGTGGAATGGGGAGGAATTGACTCTTCCTCTCCTTCTCACTTATTCTTGCACATCAACTTCTTAGCCTTTTTTCTTTCATGTTTTTCGTTTCTTCCAATTTCTCAAACTTGTTGGAATAAGAAAAGAAAAGAGAAGAAAGAAATCAAAATCTGAGATGAACCCTACCCCCTCTATTCGCGAATATTTCATGTGTGTATGAATGTGTGTGAGCACTTTTTTCTTGAAAAACTGTCCCTTGGGAGATAAGAAAAGACGTTTTTCGCCCCCCCCCCCTTTTCACCCCCTTTCCTTTGTTTTCTTCACCCCAGATTTTTTGAGCTTCTACTTTCTATGCTTACATATTATTTTTTCTTGAGTCAAATGAGTAATAGGCAGTAGGGGAACAAGGGAATCTACGAAGAACTTACAAATTCTGTCTAGTGTTTTGGAAAGGAAGTGGATCCAAAATTGTGAGCCCTCGAGAATGTATGCTTCTTTCAAATTTGGTCAAAAAGAGCAAGAATCTTCCTACTTGGAAATTCCGGAGAACAAAAAACGTGTCATCTCTCTGTTTCAATAAACAAATTCTTCCAGTTGACACCATATATTCTTTTGAGACCTTTTTTCTCCCCCGCCTTCCCTTCGTTCTTCTTCTTTTTTGTTTTTGTCGCCTGCCTGATTTCTGCTATCCATTTTTATTCTCATTTTTTAGTAATTAATTCATCTTTTCTCCAATAACAAATCTGCATTTTTTTCTAGCTAGGAAGATTGGCTTGTCAGGCCACCCTCGTATTTCTTCAATTTGGTCAGACAGTGAGAAAAGCCTTTTTAGCTTATTGTTAAATTTTTATCTTTATCGTATTCTTTTTTTTTTCTCGAATATGCTTTCAATTTAATTGCTGATTTTTGAAGTGTGGGAGAACAAAGTGCAAAAAAGCGCGCTAAATGATCAACGATGTACGCCTTATCTCGTATGTATTTCATTAACTCATTCGGTAAGATTTTCATCTTTCTCGTCATTCGACTTGGCATCTGAAATGTGTAAAGCGCATTGAGGGGGCGTTTGATACAGAAAAAGTAAAGAAGACTCACTAAACTAAGAGATTTATAGCTAAAAAATTCAATGACTCGGTTAGAGTGAAATGATAAAATAATTATGATTTCTTGTGTTTTGATTTGAACCTAATTATTCATTCAAAATTGATGAACAATTTTTAGAATTCCTTCCTGTGTTCTCAATTGAGGCGTGTTTTAGTCTATTCGACGGCTGTTTTTATTCCAGTAAAATCTAACAAATTATGCGGATTCCGGTTCTGAAAAGCATTTGCGCGTCTGAAAATTGAGTCATTTCTATTCTCAAGTAAACAGAAATACCAATTCATACTAATCTTTTTTCAAAAATGGGAATTCCAATTAAAAGACTACAAAGTATTGAGATAATTATAATTGCTAACTAACTCATAATAATTATTTTCAGATTTCCTGAGCTCTTGCATTTCTACTCACTGTCTCAACAATGGAACATGTTCAAATACTACCGGATCGTACCGTTGTATCTGCCCGCCAACGTTCCATGGCCCGTTCTGCCAGTGTAAGTATAAGAACTCTTTTGGAAAATAACAAAGAAACACTTGAACAAATCCATTGAAATGGATTGGGGGGCGGGGGGGGGGGGGATAAACAATTGTGGGAGGGGCTAGTGGGTTTAACACAAGTGTTTTGGGAGCGCTTCGTTTTGTTTTGGGACAAGAAGAGAAGGTGCCCTTTCTTTTTTTGAGACCAGATTGTTCAGAAAGAATGCCCGCGTTTAATATTGGCGAACGAATTCGGTATATTATTCCAGTTGATGTCAATGCCACCAACTACAGCTGGAGTGCTTTGGAAATCGCTCTTCTATTCTTTGTGGTCTTCATGATTGCGTTCGCCATCTTTATAGTCTGTTGCGCGTAAGTTTTTTTTTTCAGAATAACATATTTGATAACTCCATTTTTTTAATTTTCAGATCATCAAATCGTATGGGTTTCTACATCAGTGTACCAAACAAACATTACAACAGGTTAGTTGAAAACACATACATTTCAAACCCGAGTAGTGACCCGGAACCGCCTGAAGCCAAAAAGCCCAGTGCGTGACTTTGAATTCTAAACACCACAAACCAATCCTCTATCACCAGGGGAGAAATTTGGTTGATGTCATAAATATTCTTGATTTTTTCTTCAGATGGGCCGAGGAAGACGATATGTTTGACGACCTCCCAACGGAGAATGGCGAGCAACTAATGGCAATGGCCGATATACGAAAGTATGTTTCTTTTTTGTTATAATTTCTTCTAGATTAACTGAAACTTCAAAAAAAATTAATCTTGTTTTTATTCCAGAGGAATCGTGGTATCTAGAACCCGAGAAACGGTACTTGAAGATTTGGAGGACTCGGCAATACTGCAACTGTAATTCAATGTCTAACTTTCTATGTACCCAGTTTTCCACACCTTCGTCATATATAACTCATATATTACACCCATCATCCTGTGATTTGATCTCAAAAAAGCAGTTTCTGTAACCGTTTGCAAACAATTCTATACAAGTTTTTTTTCCCTGTCTAGTTTCCCTGTTTTTTTTCAATCAGTATTATCAGCAATCTCTTAAGAAGTGTTCTTGCAAGTTCTCTTTTCTCCAAAATTGTTCAATTTACATCTTGTCCATGGTTCGTTTTTTCTACGTCATAAAATGTAAACATTTTCATTTTCAACTTGAAAAAAAACACAATTTATACACTTGAGTATGAATCACACTCAAGAAATCTGATACCCACACATACAGTTATGATGATCGAGCTACGATTTTCCCCCTGTTTTTTCTTCTCAACCATTTATTCCCTGTTTGCTCGCCGAGTCGTTCAGGCTCAATGAGCCGCCGCCAAAATAAACATCTAAGAAATCCAGGCGTTTTTTTTACATGATCGAATGGGGAAGCATACGAAGTGTTAGTTTGATACACACAGAGGGAAAAAGTGCACGTTTCCGTAGGAGCTGTCATTAAGAGTTGCATATACCAAACCGATCAAGATTTTTGAAAATCGAGGTTGGATGGATATTGTTTGGGGATGAACATGAAGCCAAATGTGAATTTTCTAAGTTTTCACATTGAAAAAGAAAAGCGTCGGCAACATTTATTTGTTTCTTAGAGTACTGGCTGAGATTCTTTCCCAAAATTGAATCTTTAGTTGAAAATGGACAAATTTTTCTGTCTGAAAAATCACTTACCATGGCCATAAATATATGAAAAAAGTTTCAGCGAATTTTGACAATTCTCAGTTTTTTTACTGAAACTGTGAAAAAAGGTTACTTTTGGAAATAGGTAAATACCGTAAGAACTGTAATATAACGCCATCGCGCTCTATTTTTTGGAGGGAGTCTCGAGGTGACGTTTTATTACAGGTGACGTTCTATTAGAGGGTGGTGTTCTATTTTTCGAAGACAAATTTTTGAAAAAAAATCTTTCATCCACAATCAAAAACAGGAAAAAATCAACGAGAAAGGAAATAATATCAACTTAAAAATCGAAATCAAGAGAACATTCCCTATCATCCTCTTCGCGAATATCATCGTCGGTTTCAAAAATTCAAAAAATTCGTTGCAATCATCAATGATTGCGTTTTTATCCATCACTGTAATCCGCTCAAAATCGTTGTTTTTTCTTTCGAGGTGGCGTTCTAATACAGATGGCGTTCTATTAAAGGGTTGCGTTCTATTTTTCGGAGGGTGTCTGTCGGTGGCGTTGTATTAGAGGGGGCGCTCTATTACAGGTAGCTTTATATTACAGTTTTTACGGTAGCTGGAAAACTAGGAATATTTGAAAAAATTGTATGGATGCTTAGTTTTTCATCTAGGTCTGTTTCACATCTTCCTAAATTCTCAAAGTGATTGGAAACTAACCAGCTGAGTTCTAGATTTTTGAAAATGATCAAAATTAACTGAAAGACAGGGGAAGAGATACCTTCTTTTAAACAGAAGCATCTCAAAAGCCAAAAAATTGGCGAAAAGAAGGAGTACAATTGTTTTACGCAACATATTTTTCTGACAAGTGATTGCACAAAGAAGTTGTCGACTACAAAAATAGAGTTCTCTTTTTAATTTACAATCCCAAAAACTTCCAGACCAAATTGACAAGTGGTAAATACTTTTTAAGACACATAAAGTCGACCATTTTCAACTAATATTATCATTGTGGGATATGATTTTGGCCAACACTGTACACACTCATATACATTCAAAAAAAATATTTGAGGAACAAATAAAAGTTGTCAGAACATAGCAAATCTTAATTTCGAAACCTTGTTACAATGTTCTTAATAACAAAAAAATCTAGCACGAGTGGGGTTCGAACCCACGCGGTGTTACCCACCATTGGAACTTAAGTCCAACGCCTTAACCACTCGGCCATCGTGCTGTACGCGATTACTGGACGAGAGTTATGTTATCTACTTCGTTTGCATTCCTCGCTGTCACGCTCCATTCCATAGAAAGAGATGGAAACGCGACGGGGTTTAGTAGCACAGAAAAAAAGGACACAACAACAATTATGAAATAAGGTGAGGTGCAGGTGGAGGAGATTAAGATCTGAGGAAATCTGGGGTCAGTAGAAGGCAACGAGTAAAGAGACATGTAGTGCAAAAAAACGTGGGACGGCCATCTGGACATTACAAACAATTACGTATTTTTGGGAATACGGTGAGGGAATACGAAGGAATACGGTGAATTTTTTCAAGTCAGTCGGTGGAAAAAAAAACTTTATAGAAATCAAATTACGTTTAAACAAAATTCCGGTTGAGTTTTTCAATTTTTTCACAGCTGGATTTGTTTGTCCCTTCCAGTTGTTAACCCAAAATATAAAATCAAGACCTCAAAAATAGTTCATCTACTTTCAATTATTTTAAATTTTTTATCTCGTTTCAAAACTGCAAGGTTTTTAGAACACAACATTTCTGCCGATCATGAAAACAAAATCAAGAGTTCGGAAGCTCAAAACATCGGGATCGTTCAATTGATCCTCCTTCCTCCCATTCTCATCTACCTATTTCATTTTGATTTCGTTGTTGCCACAGCGAGTCACTCTTTGACTGTATATGTGCCTGTCTGTTGTGTTACGGGGGTCTCTATGTTTTTTGTCATGTTTGTTTGCGATTTACGTGTGTTGCCCGAGCAGAGCCGTCCGGGGCGACCGCCTACCGTACGGAGGGACTCCGCGCGGCTGCATCCTCGGGTGCGGTCTTTGGCATAAAGACGGCGCGGCGCGGCTCAACGTGTGTTGCTTCGGAAGGACTCGGTCTCTTCCTTTCACCATTTGGTTTTGACGAGAATGCGGCTGCTGCATCTGTCGTTATCACCAACCATTGGTGTTCTGGTTTTGGCATTCATCACTATCCAGGTTACTGAGGTTTTTGAAATTTTATCTGAGTTATTTTATCTCGGTGGGGCTGTTATGAGCTTTTTACATTTTCAAACTTTTGTTGTCATTTGAAAACCAATTAGGTTCATCAAAATAAGAATAACATTTTAACTTCAATTTTTACAGCCTTGCACTGGAGAACAGCTAGATTTAAATGCACATTTCCATGGTTTCACTACAGGCAAACGAATCAATGCGTAAGATATCATTTCTTTGAAACTTTCTTATAAGTCCTTTTTACAGATATCCATATACCGCGCCCGAACGAGTAGTAGACAAAGCTCTAGCGAAAAAACATAGAAAGCCTCAACAAGCCGCACAACCATACGAGCCTCCAAATGGAGCAGCAGCCTCTCCTGTCGACACATCAGCAGATTGTGAGTTTCTGGTAACAATTTTCATGTATAAATTCCTACTATAGTCGGTATGCAAAATGGCATGCAGGGTGGTGGACCAGGAATGCCTGGAATGATGTCCAACAATCGTCTTCCACCACTTCAAACTGTTCACCCACCGGCACCAAATGAGAAAGCTTGGGTGTTAACTGCAGGAAACGAGAGTTTGGTTGATAACGTGCTAGCGATTTCTCTACAGTACGGAGGAAGATTAGTTTCAATGGGATACTATCTCAGAGGTCAGGATGTCAACTATTATGCTATTATGCACAAGTACTCAGGTGAGATAGACCATCTAGTTTCTATTTGTTATGCATTTCTTTTGTAGGACCCGTGTTCATCAAACCCGCTCCAATGACATTCGATGAGTTGATCAAAGCAGTGAGGGAAAACGAGGCTCGTGATTTGGCTCTTACTCAAGTTTGTGGTCAGGAAGGGAAACCTGGAGAGATTACGTTTACCACTTACTGGGAGAGAGTGCCTGGAGTTGAGTTTCATGTAAGTAAATTAAAAAGGAAAAAAGAAATCCAAATTCTGAAATTCTAGATCTGGTTCCCTGGACAACCACACGCAGACGAGCAAAAAACGCATTTTGAAAATAATGGATACCGTTTGACTTACCTCTGTGGTTATACAGAGGCAGGAAAAGGAAAATACGTTGGTGTTTGGCAGAAGCCAGTGAAATCAGAAGCTCAATACGAAGCTCACTATGGATTGACAATGGAGGCGTGTATGCAAAAAGATAGAATCTTGGTGCAGAAAGGATTTGTTGCAACCTCCTTGAGAGTCTTCAACAACAAAAATCAAGTTTTATGTACTGGAATCTGGGAGAATAGAAATGGAAGAAGTAGTATACAAGTTGGACAGAATTTGGAGACAATGTACAGAAACATGCAACGAAATCCCAATATGATTCCTCGCCAGATGTCCCATTATACCGATAACTATCAAAACGTTGTTTACGTAGTGCTATGGAGCGATGTTGATGTGAACCGATACCCAAATCCGCCACCACTTTGGGATGAAACGTAAGTTTTTTCTAACTTGAGGCCATTTTTCCTAAAAAATAATTTTAGTCCTATCCCAGTTCGTTTCCTAAAAGGATCCCCAGAACTTCTCTCTGATAACCAAATGGAATTCCTTATCAAACGAGTTGAACACTTCATGAAAGACTTGAATATTCCTGGACTGTCCATTGCGATTGCCAAAAAAGAGCAACTCAAATTCGCGGCAGGTTGTTTGTTCATTGTATCAGAAACTTCTTCTTCTTCGTCTTCCCGTTTGTTCTTTTTCTTTTTGGACGGGAAGGTGCTAAACTGGCTCTTTCATGGGTTCCTGTGGTTCTCATTGTCGAACAAGTGGATTAGTAAATTTGAAGAAATGGTCACAACAAAAAAGAGACACAGTTTTGAGGACGGGTTGAACTGGAACAAATGATCAAGAACCAGAGTTTCCATTGCAATCTCTTTTTTACCTGGAGCAGTAATATCAACGTGTTACTGCCAGGAAAGGATTTAGAGATAACAAAATAAAAAAAAAGAATCTGAGTTCAAAATTAATGAATACGATTGAATGATCAAGCACAAAAAATTGGATGAAACCTGACACTCTTTTAAAATGTTTGTCCCCAACCACGTCATGTAAGATAAACACCAATTTTCTCGCATTCATTGAGCCATAGACGTTCAGTTTCAATGACTTGGATACATGTATCAGTTTTCCAGGCTTCGGCTACACCGACATTCGACAACAAGAGCCCGTCACGCCAAATCATCAATTCCGGTTCGATTAGAAAAAAAAATTTCACGAAAAAATAATATATTCTCAACCAATTGAGAAATGGTTCACGCAAACAATATTTTTATAGAGTGGGCTCAGTATCAAAACCAGTCACCGCGGCCGCAATAATGCTGCTGATTGATAAGGGGCACTTCACACTGGACTCCAAACTGTTTGGCAAGGATTCAATATTCGGCAGCGAGTTCAGCAAAAAGTATCAATATCCGAGATATGTGACAGAGATTACTGTACGCAACTTGTTGGAACACACGTCAGGTAAGTGAAGAGGCTGGTAGAAGAACATCACTTTAAATGGTCATAGAATGCCACTGTAAACTTGTGAACAAAACTTCCGCAAACATTTTGGTAACGTGCTACCCAAACTGGGTATTTTGAGCCCATGTATCTCATTTTCAAAAATGATATCAAAACGTTTTCAACTGTTAAAATGTTTGTCATATTATTGCTCACATTTCATCAGTTGAATGCTTTTTCATATTTTTCACAGGGAATGAGATACAGTACCGGTCAATAAGGTATACCTAAGCGCATTTTTCAGTTGGTTTTTGACATTTTCAAAAATCTAGAGATCGTCTGTCAAGTTTCCAATTACTTTGAAAATTGCGGAGAGTCTGAAACAGAACCAGATTGAAAAAGTTGCATCCATAGATTATTTTGAAAATTCCTACTTTTTCAGCTCTTAGCCAATTTCTGAAATACCCCAATTTTTTGCCATGTTTGTATTTGAAAGGTGAAAAAACAGGTGTTTTCAGATATCGGCAAGAAGCTAAAAACTAGGAATTTTCGAAAACTCTGTGAATGCAAAACTTTCAATCTATGTCTGTTTTACATTCTCATAAGTTTTCAAAATTCAAAATGAATAGGAACTAGACAGTCAAACACCATACTCCTGTAAATATTGGAACGACCGTAACGATCATTCGACAGATTTTATGTTATCTCTCACAGAAATTGAAGTAGTTTAAAGTGCAAGCATAGATTGACGCTTTATCACAGCATATACAGGACATAATGTATTTTTCAAAAATTTTCCGGAAATCCTTCCTATTTTCCTGTTAATTTGTTCTGTATCAGAGATTTTTTTAGAGAAATGTATGATAACTACCTATCATAATTTGAAAAAAAACCACTTTCAAACTTTTTTCGCCTATTTTTCTCGATTTCTGCTTTTTTTTTTCGATTGCCAACTTGACTAAAACCAACAAAATTCAGAGTAAAACAGAAAAATTTTAATTCAAAAACCAATTTTTCGTTTTTTCCAAAAATTAAGAAAAAAAAATTTGGGTACAAATCTTCTTGAACAAGTTTGGTATCATCCCCTGATGACACAAATTGCCTTGTTTCTATTTTTCAAGATTTCTCAAATTTTGTGTTCCAGGTGGCTGGGACAACTTGCAATCTGACGCTGCATGGGTCCAGCCAGACATGACCACTAAGGAGCTCATCGAGCACGTGCTTACCAATGTGCCACTTGAATACAAACCAGGATCCATGTGGATTTATTCTAATTTCGGTTATCAGTTGTTAGGTGAGTTTGTAAATAAGAGTGAAAGTGATGAAGAACTTTACAAAAAGTGTATGATAGAAAATTTTTCCGAAGCTTGTCTGCTTGTCACATCTAACTCAAAAAGTTGTAATTGTTTTCAAAGAGATACAATCAACGCAATACCCCTTCTTTGATGCTCTTTCTTTCTTTCTCCAAGCTCAAAACTTTTAAAAATTTCAAAATCTCAAAACTTTAATCATAAAACGGCAGGATATCTCATCGAAACGACCACCGGCATGTCCTACGAGGCGTTTGTCAAGAAGAACATTTTCGCACCATCTGGCGTTTACGATATTCAAGTGGCAAGGCCGAGCATCAGCGAGCGGGCACCGTAAGATTTTTATGCACTCACATTAATGTGTTACCTCAAGTTTTGAATGTTTTTATTACTCCCCTAAAAGTGACAGATGTTTCTGAATGTTTTTTTTTTGTGAAATTTTTTTTCATCAAGGATTGTTTCAGAAGAGAAGTTGTGTACTACATGTCTGGAAATGGATTGGGATTCAATCCTTACGAGATGTTACCACCAGAGAGAATCGGTCCATGGGGTGGATGGATTGCTAGCCCGATTCAACTTTTGATGTTTATGAGCCGTATTGATGGATTTCATAATAGAGAAGACATTTTGAGTGAATACTCGATTGCTGAACTCTCAACACCATCTCCTGCATCCAATGATACTTATGGTGAGGTTCAAATTTTATGAAGGGAGATTTGGAATTTTTAAAGGCTTGGGTTGGTCATTGAACATCATGGGATTCAACGGCTGGCAGCATGACGGTCGTATGCCGGGTAGTGCGGCAATGTTGGTCCGGTTGGACAATGGATTAGAGATGGCTGTCACTGTCAATAAGGTTTGTGACTTAACAGTGCCGGCCATATATGAAAAAAAAACAGTTATCAGTCGATTTTGATAATTTTCGGGAGTCTAAAGCTCGGCTGGCAGTTGTCGGATAAAGTCGAAAATTTGGGAGGGTGAAACAGATCTAGATTAATAACTTTACATTTACAGAAATTTTTCGGAAATTCCTAGTTTTTCTGTTATTTGCCGATCTTTGAAGGACATCCCTGTTTGTGTACTGGCAACGTGAAGAGAGGACATGTCTTTCCGAAATCGGAAAATTGCTGAACAACTAGGAATTTTCGAAAAATGCAAAAAATTTCAATCTAAGTCTGTTTTACATTCTCTAAAAACTTCAAAATATTCGGAAGCTTGAGCCGAGCTCTAGACTCCTGAAAGAGGTCAAAATTAACTGAAAAACGCGTTTTTTTATAATTATGGCCGGCACTGTAAATTCTTCTGTATTGTCATTTTCCTTGTATTTTCAGGAATATTCCGAAAGAGATTTCTTCCACGAACTTGGTTACGTACTTCACCACATCGGCAACAACTGCGATTGGTGGAATGACGACTACGATTTGTTCCAAAAATCTAGGAGATCTTCTAGAAGTGCAAAACGACATCTATACCCTTTAGCGACACAGAGAACGACTGTTCATAGTACAACAAATCCACACATTATTCGCTTCGCTTAGAACAGAACAGATTTATTATTTTTCTTTTCTCTTTTCCCTCTCACTGCAAAAAAGTATTAAATCCCACCGTTGTATTTCTGCGCTGAACCAGTATTTTTATTTATAATTTTATTTTAATATTTATTTGGACCCGAGTGTTTATTTTTTCTGTATTTATTAATGCTTTGTTTGAGCACAAACGGGTATTGCTTCTATCTTGTAAATTATTTATTTGAAATGATAAAAGTTATTTTGGTGTTAATAAAAATGCTTCTTTGAAAAAAATGATGGCAAAACTGTTCTAACTACCAATTGAAAGGGGAAGGAGATCAAAATATGGAAATTGTAAAACATTATCATATTGAATTAGAAAAGTTGAAAAAAGGACAAAAAAGTTAACATGAATTTTATGTACAGATCTAAAGATGTGTGTAATTGGCATTTGGCGAATAAATTTCTGTGGTCAAAGGCGGAGAGCTGAGCGAAGGGAAACCATCTGTGGAGTGATTAGATGATGAAGTAGAGAGTGGCTGAAAGAGGAATTTGAGAAACGTACATGGGTAAAAATAACAAAAAAAGCTTACTGGATTCATTTCTAATGTAGAATGAATGACAAGCATTGGGCTTCCGGGCCGACCACCATCTTGAAGTCCCCGGCGGAATTTGGCACGAGCATTTTGGAACCACACCTGAAAAATATGGTTTATTTGAAATGTGTTTGAGAAAAAATATAAGACTCACTTGAAGAACTCGCTTGGTTAGGTTAGTCTTGACAGCAAGTTGCTTCAAATCTTTGGCGTCTGGGTTGTGGTTCAAAGCAAAATAAGATTTCATTGCTCGGAGTTGGTGGTGTTTGAAAGAAGTACGCATCCGCTTGTTTCGTTGATGACCATTGCTACTTCCGTCTTCGTCGGTCGATGCTAGAAAATTTTGAGTCTATTGGAATTGTATAATTTAATGGGCAAATAGAAGGAAAATTGGGGATATGCAAAAATCGGCGAATGCAAAGTCTTTCATTTAAGTCTGTTTTACATTCTTCCAAATTTTTAAGTGGTCGGAAACTTGAAAGCCGGGCTCCAGACATCTAGAAACTGTCAAAATGGCGAAAAATCAACTGAAAATGCGTTTTTCTATGTCTCATCAACAGGTACTGTATATTTTTTCGTTTTGAGGAAGAGCTTGTGATTGATAACAATTTTGAAGCCAGATGGACAAGTAATACAGCACTTGCGCCAATAGATAGCCACCCTGACCATCAATTTTGAACATAATTATCTCGACACCTGTGAAGCAAACATATCAACATTTTTCAACTGATGAAATTTCAATGATACTGATGAACAACTTATCAGTTGACATGTTATTGGTAGCTTTCACCGCAACCTAGATAATTCAGGCGGATGTTGACGTTTGGTTGGGTTTCTATCAGAGGAAATACGTTTAGACACAAAAAATGGCCCATATTAAACTGAATTGGTAACTTTGGAACTTAATTTTTGACCGTTACTGTATTAATCAAGAAACAAGCTTCTGTCGAAGTGGTTGTAATTTTCAGCTAGTGCTAAATTTCTCGAAAAAAGTAAATACGGGTTTTCGGGTAAAATTCAAAGGTTCATTTTTTAATTTATATAAATCCAGCACAAAACACAGCTATTTGTTTGTTTGAACTCTCGGCGACTATACAAGTTCATTTTCGAAAATTCATAGATCCCGCTTCTCTTTTCAAAAACCTTTTTCCTTCTGTTTGAACGTGAAATTTTTCGGTACCTGTCCTCTACTAAATAAGAGATTAACGGGGTCGCTCGCTTACCCGTCTCTCCTTCTACCTTTTTACATTACATGCTTGAAATCTGATGCCGACCTAGGTGTATCAAATCGTCGCGCTTCCTGTCCCATGCCACCTGTGGACATGTTTTTGTTTTATGCACCGCCGACCAATTATTTGCTTATCATCTAAAATGCAACACACCAGATTACATTTCGGTCTACAAATTTTGATTCAAGATGAGTGTATGTAATCGTATGGATAGCTTTGAATAGAACTTCCAAGTGAATAGTTGCATTATCAATGTAACAAAAAATTGACTCAACTAAAAGAGTCAAAATATTAAAAGAGCAGTTTCTGATTCCGAATGGTCTTCTTCTTTAATTTAGCGCCTTCCGGGTTATAATTGTTCCTTTTCTCACACCCGAACATAAGTGTGCTCATCCTCTTCGTTATAATAATAAGAACCCCTCGTCGCTTGTTCTGCTGTCATGTATACGGTGGCCGTTCACAAATTATTAGTACCCTCGGAACTCAACTAACCTTCCGCTTCGGATGTTTCTCTGGCTGGTGCTTCTGGTGCCGGCGATGTTGAAGATAAAGGAAGGATTACTGCAGTTGGCGGTGTTGTTTTTGGCGGCGAGGCTACAGCAGATACGGTAGTTGACTTAGGTTCTTCTAATAACACCTGCGTTGGAACGGCATAATGAGCTGAAAAACATGTTTTGTTACGTGAAAGACAAAGGAAATCGAAAAATATTACCCTGACAATAGAGATGGCCTTCCGGTGAAACTGTATAAAAATCTCCAGTGTTCAACTTTTTTGTACAAAGCTGCAAATTTGAAAGTCGATTAGAATGAGAGAAAAAACAACTTACAAAACACACAAAACATGAATTATGATATATCATCTCCTTAGCCCGCATAACCATATCCTCCCTGTTCAAAGGTTGCTCACATTTCCGACAACATTTTTGGTACCGCCTGAACTTTTTTTTCATCAGTGGAAAAATCAGAAAACTCACTTTGCATGGTCCGCTCGACATAAAAAGGAACCATCTCTCACATAACATTTATCATTAAAATCAAAAGTCATATCACACATGGCACAACGAAGACAACGATGGTGATAATATTTGCCTTCTAAAACACTGATTTCTTTGTCGACGATAGCAAATTTACAAAAGGAGCAATGATCTGAAAGTTGGGATAGAATTCTGAGACTGCCTGTTTTCTGAGGCTCCTAAAAATGTTTCCAAGAGATTCCTAAGATAATTGCCTTCATTATTGGCTTAGTTTGTGGGGGAAAAGAATGAGATGCTCCATTTTATGCATATTCTATTTCTGTTTTGAAAGAGAAGACGTATTACTCATAGTTTCGGTGAAAGTAGTTCTTTAAAAACGGACTTACTTATATCTTTTGGTTCATTTTTCGGTATTTTCAAAGGTTTGGAAATCATCGTGTCCGGTGTAGGTGCCGACGAGGTGGCAGCGACTACATTCAGGTTAGCATATTGGGGTGAATGAAGTTTCTCGGCCAAATCGTATTCCTGGAGTTTAGTCCATCCAAAATGGAAAGTCGTTGGTTCGGGAAAAATGACATGAGGTGCAATGGTTTCTTTAGAGGCCGAATTAAAGAGCATGTGAAGGTGCTGCCTATAAAAAAATAGAGAATAACAGGATTGGAAAAAAAATTGGATAAAAAAGAAAGAAAGAATAAAAACAAGGATTTTTTTCAGAGTGGTAGGACAGATATATTATTGCATGTTACAATAACACAGAAAACGCTACACTAGGGAATTTTTTCTTTTGGTAAGTAACCCAGAGAATTTCCAAATCACATTTTCATAAAATCTTATTTTCTAGATAATTGGTTTTACAGTTGCTCAAATCCTTATATGATCCTTATGGGGAAAAAAAAGTAAAAAAGTTGATAAACAAACCAAAACTGAATAGTTTCAGAATAAAAATATTGGGAGTGTAGCCCTCCTTCAATAAATTTCACTCGTCTACAATATTCTGCAAAAAGCCACCACTTTCAATTTTTGTCTCCCCCATATGAGTCGGCGCCCGATCTCGAATCTCTATTCTTTTCTTTTTTCACCACCATATCCGCCAACTCGTCTCTATGTTTCTCGTTTTGTGTCTATCTACAGTAATCCGGCTTTGTGTCGACGACGTCGCTAGTAACAAAAACAAAACATTGATTTTTGTATAGGTATTATTCGTGAAATGACAAAAAAAGGAGAAAAAATACTCGTGGTGAAGTTGTCTGAACAAAAAAAAGGTGTCAAAAACAACAGATTGTTTTTTGAAGAGGCAAAATGTGTGTTTGCGCGTGAAGATGAGCAGCGTAACTTCTCATGGCTAGTCTGATGAACCGAAACAAGAATGATGAAAACACGACTCATCGATCTTAGTCAGTAATAATATCCCAAAAATTACTGTTTTATTTGCATAGATCACTAATTTTAAAAACAGGAAAATACCAACTTACGAAATATCAGCAAATGCATTTGGCACTACATTGGCTTGGGTTTCAGCATTAGGATTAGGAATGGTAGGAAATGACATAGGTGATTTCATGAATTGCAACATGGCTTCAGTATTCCCAGAAGCAGAAACAATTAATGTTTGGAGAGTTTCAAGTAGAGACGGAGTTGATTTTTCAGGGATAGTCTTAACTTTTGCACATTTTCTCTTTTTATATTTTCGTTTAGGAGGCATACTGATAAAAATTACGTAGGAATGTAAATTTTTCAGAAGCTTTGGACGTATAAATTAGTGCAATGAAGCATCCAGGTAGGACACAAAAAGCTGGGTGGTCTTGAAAAGTTTGCAAAATCAGAAAAGTTGTGCTGAATTCTCCGTATTTTTTCAAACTTTCAATTTAAAGTTTCCTAGATGTCATTTCCTACAAATATAATAAAAAGTTCTCCTTTCTATAATACTTCTTCAATATGAGATATATCTTTTCTGTGTTCAGGAAAGACACAAAAGGTCTAATTTCAATATCATACGAAAATTCGCGAGTAAGAAAAATGAGAAGTTATAATTTCGGGATTCTCTATGCTATTTCGGCAAGCCAGTACTGAAAATGGGATTATGCATTCTAAACGAAACTTTAGGTGCGCATCTTCTTAAGTCCCAAAATATAGTACGGTTGTTGTTACCATAATATTAGAAACAGAAAAAATAAAACAAAAACAAGACAAAACACTAATCTAAAAGATACATAAGTGGAATAATGATGAGCCCAAGAATTTCTATTCAAGTGGTAGTTCACACCTGCTAATTGTCAGCGGGGTGCACCGTTTTTGGTAATGTACTGTTTGTGTGTAGATGACATGTGTTATGTTATTGCTGGCAACTTCCGGATGGATATTTTGTGTACAGATTTGAATTTAGCGGTATCACATTTTTAGGAAGGGAATTTTGAAAACTAATAAAGTGGTTTCATTAAGTTATGATAATTTATGGCTAACCACCCTGAGCCAAAGAATGAGAAACTCAAGATTTTATACTTTTCGAAAAAAGAGAAAATAACTTATATCCATTTCGTTGTTATAAACCAAGAATGAGAAAACCAAATTGAATTGTTTTACATGGTTCAACATATTTTACCTGTTCACTCTTGACTGGTTATCAGAAATTTCTGTTTCCGGTTCAACTGAGATTATCCATATTCAAAAACTACGCTTCTCTTCCTGAATTCGTCTCACGCTTGAATTCAAATGATCTTTTAGACGTATTATCACACCACCACAATGATAAAAAGTTGAAAATCATAAAACAGGATTTCACTATGTTTCAAAGTAAAAAAAATCAGAAGTCATAACATCTCCAAAATACTGGAGACATCATCGGTGTCCGTTTCAATATTTGGAACACCCATGTGTTATTATAGGAAAGCGAACAAAAGGAACAAGAGCTACAGTAGGATTATCTTAGCAGAGAAGACAGTAGGCGGAGTCCCCCGTCACTGGATGGCCGTACGAAAGGCGGTGGATGAAGAAGAAGCAATACGAGAAGCGGACGGAGACGCAGATCCGGTAAACAACGGGCCCAGAAGATATGAAATTGTTTGAATTTTGAAATTTCTTGGAAAGAGAGACGACACTCTCATCTAGAGATTTTAGGTGTCAGGATGGGAGAGGATTTTCTACTTTTGCATAATTAGTATTAGTGGTTAAGAGACAGCGGGGAGGTGTTGTGAAATAATTTCACTGAAATTAGTTAAAATATGAGCGGTCTCGAAAAATTCGGTAAATTGTAAAAATCTAAAAATACTTTTGTCCGAAATCCATTCACGTTGAGAGCGATAGTTTTGACGAATTTTTTTAGGAAGTAGAACGATCTTTCATAATTCTTAAGCTTATTGTGAGTAGTGATCTCATTTTTACCATTTTACGACGATTTGTGTCGTTTTTGCAAGGGTTTTCATCATTTCAATTTTTTTCCGATTTAAATTGTTTTTTTAATTCCTATAGTTTTTGCTCTAAAGATCTCAACAGTTGTGAATTTATCTCACAATTGATTCATAACAAAAAAAGAAACAAATAACGTATATTATTATTAAAAAATAAAAAAAATGGTACAAAAAAGCAAAATGAAAAACCAATTTAGAACGATTGCAAAAAGAAACAGGGATGTTTCTCGAAAACTTAAGGAAAAAATTATTTCAAAATGAGCCAAATTTAAAGAAAGGTTGGGGTGAAGGGAGGAATGGTAGAAAAAATATGAATCAAGTTTCGAAATCTGAACAGTAAATGCGGTACATGGCTAAAAAATCACAATTAAATGTTTCCGCGGAAAATAGTCAACTTTAAAGAATTGAAAAAGTGATCCAGAATTTTTCCGTTTCTCCGACAAATGTATGCTATAATAAACAAAAACAGAGGTTTATCTTCTGAACAAATTGATTTCCAATTTTTGAGCTATGCTGTTTGCTGAATGCTTGAAATGGCCTTTTTGGAATTTTTCGAAATTTCTAGAATTCTGATTTTCTAAATTTCGGAATTTCGGGATTTCGGAATATTCCGATTTTTCAAGTTCTGACATTTCAAAATTCTGGAGTATTCCAATTTTGAAAACTCGGCATTTTGAAACAGAAAAGTTGTACATTAATAAACTGACGCTCAAATTTGGTATACTGTAATTTCCTGACAAATTAAGAAATTCTGGACTACTTTTTCGAAAATTTGAAATTGACTACTCTAAATGGAAAAATGAAAATATGATATATTTTTGTCCAATACTTCATATACTTTTCATTCTGGCAATATTCAGGTTTTAAACCTGATTCCAAAACCGGACCCGTAGTCTAACAGCTCTCCATGCTTGGTAAAGGAGTACCCTTTGATCCGCGGCGGGATCATTCAAGGTGAAAGAGGATGCCCAAGAGACAGTGGATGTTCTGATCCTGAAAAAAAACTATTTGAAACTTCAACTACGAATCAACTTTTGAAGACATTGAACATTGTTGAACAACATACTCAAAAAGTCATGATTATTTTGATATCATTAGTGCTTTTGTGAAACTATTTTCATCGGATAAATCTGGTTTTTTTATAGACTTGTATTTCAACTTACCATGACGTTGTGATTTAAATATTCGATCTCAAAATTAACCTACTCTATCAGAATCACCAAAAGTAAACCTTTTCAGCATTCTGACAATTTGGAAAAATCAGTGTTCGAGGCTTACATTAGATATTGAAAAACCACACTTGGAAAATGATAAAAAAATAAGTATCAAATATTGAGCACTAGAATAAGTGAAAAGGGCTTAGAGGCAGCTCAGAAGCCGAAAACCTTTGGTTAACCATTGAAATCTCATACCATACAAAAAATGTCTTCTTAATGAGGTATTACTTGTTCAAAAGTTAGCAAAAAACTATGTAATCCTGTTCCAACTGCTGTTTCCATGATCGCTGTCTAATTTTTTAAAATCAGACATTCTCCGAGAAGTGTATTTTGTCAAAAAAATTTTTGGGAGAAATGTTTCTGTGTCATTTTTCTCAGATTATTTACTGAATTTTGAAAAAAATTTGTCACTTCAGCTCTATTTTCAAGTAAGATACAGTTGACCAAACGATAAAGGATAAATGTACGATCAGCCGTGTATTTTTTGATTCTTCGTTTTTCACTGTTAGAGTTGTTTCAAGACAAACATTTTTCTACTACGAAATTTTTGCTCACCTCAAATTAGCGTTCATTTTGGTTGCTTCCGAAGAGGTCCGAGAAAATGAACCTGAAATTAGATTACCGTAAAAACTCTATTAGATAGCCATGGCACTCTATTGTTCGGGGGTGGTCTGGGGTGGCACTGTATTAGGAGGTGGCATTCAATTAGAGGCTGACACTTTTTTATTGGGATCCAATTTCTACTGAAACTCATCACAAAAGGACTCGACTTTCAACTTTTTCATGAAATGACTTTCGAGGTTTTCTTGATTTTTCTACTTCCTTTTCAGAGATTTTCGGAGTCTGATATTATTCTGAAACTTTTTTGACAAACACAGTATCTTTTTTGAACTTGAAAAAGGCTAGAAACCTAGTAAATGTTTTTTTGTGTTTCTCTTCAACTTTCACCACAGTGACATCAAATCCGAAGTGGCATTATATTAGGGCCTCGCACTCTATTGTTTGGAGGTGCTCTGGGGTGGCACTATATTAGAGGCTGGCATTCAATTAGGGGTAACTATCTAATAGAGTTTTTACGGTACTTTCTTTAAAGCAAAGCATTTACAGTATACAACAGATAGTACAGTGTCAGAAAACACTTCGCAACAATAAAAAGTTGAAAAAATAATTTTGAAAAATACAATTTTTATCCAAAGTTTTGAAGCACAGTATGCGGGATTTTTTACAAATTCGGTGGATTCAGAAGAAAAACTAGGAATGTGAAAAAGAAATTGATGGAATTTGACTAGCAGAAAGTTTGAATCTTACGTCGTTAGGGACAGAGAGTAGAGGGAGGAGATCGTTTAAAAAGTAGAGATCGAAAAAAGGAGCAACGGGTTTGAGAGGAAAATGCGGGGTATACTGGATGTACATGTTCAAGAGATAGCAACTAACTTTAGTTGATACAGGGAAGATCTTGGATGAAAAATACAATGGATGAGTTGAGATTTAGAATAAATAATTCGAGATTTTTTTACAATTTTAATAGTCCCACTCCAATTCATCCGGCCATACTGGTACGAGGCGTTGAGCTTTTCTATTGGCCATGATGACAGCTTTGGACTGCTCCAAGACGCTCGTAACGACTCTGATGGTGCGCCGAAAATGCTCCACACGAGCCTGAAAAATGTTGGTGAAACTTTGACTTTAAGTGCCACACACAGCCGAAAATTGAAAAAGAAAGAACTACCGTAAATACTTTAGTAAAAGCCCACCCTCTCTATAGGTTTACATACCGTATTTCCTCTAATTGAAGCCCATGGGCTTCAATTTTTGAACCTCTCTTTCAGGGTGGGCTTCTATTAGAGGTGGGCCTCTAATTTTCAATAATTAATTTTCAAAAAAAAATTTGTTCAAAAAAGCAGAAATGTGACAATTCGGAAGTTAAAAACTCTGAAGTTAGGTGTTTTTTTTTTCAATTTAAAGTTTTCATTCTGCAATCCTAAACTTCAAATTTCCGAATTTTTGAAATTCTGAAATTTCAGCATCTCAAAATTCAATATTCAGGAACTCTGTAGATCAGAAATCGATAAATTTAAATATTGAAAAAAAAACGCATGGGCTTCTACTAGAGGGTGGGCTTTTAATTATCGAAGCACCGCGCAAGGTGGGCTTCTATTAAAGGTGGGCTTCAAATAGAGGTGGGCTTCTATTAAAGGTGGGCTTCAAATAGAGGTGGGCTTCTATTAGAGGAAATACGGTATCTTGGTTCCTATGAGAGATTTTGAAAAACTGTCAACCGATAAAAAATTTTGTGATGTTATGATGAATGACTTATCAGTAGAAAATTTACTGAGAATTTTGAAGGAACTGAGATAATTGAGCTCAAAGTTCACATACTGGGTAGGCTTCTATTATAGTCCTTACGGTGTCAACTATTTGTTTATTTTTTTTGTCACTAAAACTTAAAATTTCTCAATTTCCGAAAAAATAGTTTGTTACCTGAAATTCTGAGTACGTCCTGATCCAGCAGAGTTCCCGACGAACTTGTGGAAGCTCGATGATGAATTGGACTACCCGGAACTTAGCGGTCGTCCCATCCGGGAGGTGGCCGTTGTGGAGACCCTGAAATAGTAAAATGTTTATTTCCCAATAGAAAGTTAAAGATGCGTCCTACCAGTTTCTGAATCAACCAACCCAACCCATGCTCCAAAAGGATTTTCTCCGCGGCCTGGGATTTGCTGAGCGGTGATGGAGTCATCTGAAAAAAATAGCTTTAAACTTCTCGAGAAAAACTGCGAATCCGAAAAAGGGAGATGAATTCGTGTGAAAGAAATTGAAAAAAGAGAGAACAAAAAACAGAATACAAGCGCCGATTTTAGAAAAAAAAGTGGGAAGTCTGGGTCCATAAATCACGTTGCGAAAATGAGCACCGTTTGAGGTACGTATCATTCACTGTCATTTGTAGAGCATCTTTTTGAAAAGGTGACGTCAGAAAAAAAAACTTCGATATCTCATTTTTGCTTTTGTGTTTTGGGGTCGAGCTTAATAGAGTTCTAAATGAATACTAGGGGAAAAAGAGGGTTGTTGAGAATAATGGGTTGTGTGAGTGAATGAGATTCAAGGAATTCGTGGGCATTTAATGTAGACTTAAAGACTTCGGGACAGCACATAAAACATTGATTTGAACATAAAAAAAGTGGTGGAGGGCTGAAACTGGATGTAATTACCTGCTATCAAAAGAAGTTCATCTAATAGCCACAGACAGGATAAAAATAGAAAAACTTTGATAAAAGATACAATAATTCAGACACGACATCTACACATATATCTAAAATAAGAAAAACAGAGGAGATTTTTTTGAAATGGAAAAGTGCCAAATGTTCAAATTGAAAATTTCGGGAAAAATCTCAAGAAATGTCAGAGAATTTATTAATTAAGGAACATTAAAAATTCAAAGTTTTGAACCTAATGAATGTCTGACACATCCCGAAAATTCGAAAAAATTCCGAACGATTCTCTAGTACAAAATGACAGAAATTCGGAAGAATTTTGAAAATCGATTGACGAATATTCGAAGAATTCCATCAAAAATCAGAATTCTTAAAAATATTCAAATCTTTCTGTTCAAATTTCGCAATTTCACAAAGTTCCAAATTTTTCTGTCAGAGCTGCAAAATTTCTTGAAAATTCAAAAACTAAGCATTTTTTGAAAATCGGAAAAAAAAGCTTCTTACAGAGAGTCGACGATTAGAGAAATTGCGAGCTTTCTGTGACATTCATGGATACTTAGAAAATTTTGATATTGGAATTCAGGAATTCCGGAAAATGCTAATTTTGTCGAAAACCAGGAATCTTCAAAAATTTAGAGATTTTTTTGAATTCTACAATAGTCGGAATACTTGAGAAAACCATTTCCGGAAGGTGGATATTCCAAAAAATACCGAAATGTCAAAATTTGAAGTTCCGATACTTTCTGTAATTAGGACAATCAAAAACTCCCAGAATAACTTGAATTTTCATTTTTGCTTTCCGCAAAACTGCTTTCTGCAAAACTTTCTAAAATTCTAAAAACCTTGAAAATTTTGAAAAATCGATAGAGCCCTTTTCCGAATGACGTTTTTTCAGAGAAATGATCTTAAAAATTTTGGATATATGGTAAATTTAGAATGTGCTAGAATTGGAATTACAGAATTTCCTGAAAATGCAATGTTTGTAGTCAGATTTGAAAGATCTAGAGAGGTTTGAAAAGTTTTCTAGAATTCAACAATTCAACAATTGTCGGAATTTTCAATTATTCTTGAAACACATCAAATTTTCTATAAAAAGTTTGACACTTTATAGGCTTATCACTCTAGATTCAAATGATTCTTCAAAAACAATCTAAAAACCTAAAAATGGGACAAGTTAGCAGTCTAGGTTGTAAAAAAAACGTATTCTTATGGAACTTATTTCCACACCTTGGGGAATCGGGAAATGCGAAGTGACTATTTTGATTAATTCGTACTAGTCGTTCAAGAGAGAGTGAGAGCATTTTTATGGGAGAGAGTTTTCCAATAAAAAGAGGCCTGGCGTTTTGCGTAGGTAACTGTCACACCATTCCTAGAACTTAAGAAGAGGAAGTATAGGCTTTTGGAGCATATGTCGATAATTTTTAAAAAATTGAAAGTTAGGATTTATCTATAAAAGTTTCATTTTTGGATAAGTTGATAACACAGAAAACGGGGAATCCAGTTTACTTTTAATACAACCCATATATGAACAAATAGAGAAAAATTATTGACATCTTTATTGCTGAATGATGTGTTCAATACAGTCGATCGAATCTTCCATCATCATTCGAACTTCTTCGATTTTGGTCTAAAATGAAAGTTCCAAGGTTGTTTGAAAAGTAGTGGTCACTTTTTTTTCTGATTGTCGTTGCTCATTAGATTTTTCAAATTTGTTTTTGTATTTCTAAGTGTCACGGATCGCATGTTCTATAAATTTGAAAACAAATTGCGCAAAAACTGTAGAATAGGCAAGAAAGACTGATTTAAAAAAAAGATCTAACGTGAGTTCTAACTTTTCCAATGTCTTCAAAATCATCACGCTAGAAAGATATTTCATATTCGAAAAAATTGTGTTTTTTGTCTTCTAGTCTTTGGAGTTCTACACAAATGGAATCGCCCAACTTCTGTTGCGCTAGCAAGAAATTATGAACTCAATGCCTAAGACATCTCTCATTGACTTCTTAATCAATGACGTGAAAAAAAATGACAACTTTTCGAACAACCTCATCATTTAGAACAATCCCTTTAATTGAATTTACTGTATCAAGTTCGAAAGGTGAAAACGGTCTGATCCTGTGCATGATTTGGTAGATGTGGCGAGTTCGCTCAAAGTCATCTGGGTTCTCCCAACGAGCAATGCAGCGGGTCTGAATGTTTTTAGTGATCAGCAGCAGTTTGAAGAATCAAAACAAACCGCTTTATCGTGTAAGCGATCCAGATATGCGCGAAACTTGAAGAGCATCGGACGCGTCTTGTGGTGTGCTATTTGGATGTGGTACGGTAGCGTGAAAAAAGTTAAAACGTTAAAAACGAAGTACAGAAACAGAAAAAAACAGATATCAAAAATCAGAAAACAACAAAAGCTGTCGTGAGGAATTAGTGAGAAATCAAGAGCACAGCATCCAGTGAGTGCGGAAAAAGTGATAAAAAAAATAAAACAGGAATTTTTTTCAGAATGTTATCTCAATATTTTCAGAAGTTCATGGTTCAGAAATAGGCAACGGAAACTACAGTATCTTAAAACGAATTTGAATTTTCTCAGAATTTTTTCCGCCTTCGTTCAGTTTTAGGCTCCAAGACATGCTCTGCATCCACGGCATTTTTTTCATCCAACTCACAGTTTTTCTAGACTTTCTTGACACCGAATAATCTTCTTCAAGATGTCTAAACAAAATTTATCATTTTTTGTCGTGAATTAGTTTTTTGTGCAATAAAATGGCTAACGGGAGAAGGAAAGTTGGACGAATAATGAGTATTTTCAAAATCAGGAGCTTCGGAAACAAGAAATTCAGGAGCTTTGGAAACAAGAAATTTCAGATTCCTGTAAATTCCAAAACTTTCGAAATAACATAACTCTATATCATCATGAAATTTTGGCAAATTTTGGAAATTTGGAAACTTGGGGATTTTTCGAAAAATCTTGTTTTTTTTGAGAACTTTTGAAAAATTTTGTTATCTATATTTTTGGTTTTAGAGATCTGTGAATCTCTGAAAAAACAAAAATTTTCAATCATTACAAAACTTCTAAATCTCACAAAAATTTCCAGAACTTCGGAATTTTAGAATTTCATCAGATTTGAGAAAGACTAAGATGTTGGTGAAACACTCAAGAGGCCCAAGTAAAATATGAAATCATATGAGTGGGTTAAAAATAAAGCACACTAAACCCACAAAAAAATCCCGAGCCACCCATAAAAAAATAAATCATTAATCAAACTGCACTTGTTCCATGCGACTTTTGTAGTAGCATTGACAGCTCATGAAATCACAGATTTCCATCCGTCAGGTTTTAAGCGTCATTCTCTTGGCTGAAAAAATATTGGCGAATGCCATATAAAAATTCAAAGTTAAAAACAGTTGAGTCCGAAGAACTTTAACGAATGTTAGGAACTTTCGGATATTTTGGAAAATGGGTTTTGAAATTTCAAAATCTTCCTTATATATAAAACGCTAGACGCGTCTGTCCGTCCCGATATCAGTCTGTCCGGTTTTTGATTTTTTTAATGAAAGTTTAGCCGCCACCAAAACCGAACCCGCGGCCTACCGCACAACGGCTGGGCACGCGACCAACTGCGCCATGCGGGCCACATAGAGAAAGGGGGAGGAAAGGAGTAGATGTTCTACAGTGTGAGAGAGAAGAATCAAAAAGTGAGGAATGGAACGACGAATGGTAAAAAGTGTTGAATTGCGCCGAAGGCGCAACAGCCAGCTGTTTGAAGCGCCGGAGGCGCAGGCTGGTAAGTTAATAATACAAAAATCCAAAATTTTTTCTAAGCGTCTATGCGTCGCAAATTCTCCAAAACTCGGTTGATGAGTTTATTGAATTAAACAGGTCGGAAACAGAAACTTCTGGACCACCAACATGAAGACAATTCCTTCCTCCATCAGGTGAGCTGTTTGACTTTTCGATTACCGTATTCAATCAGATCAATCGACCGAACTCAATCTGAAAATTAAAAACCGATAGGCCAAACTCAGTTAATTTGATACTGTGAATAGAATAATAGATAAAATTAGTTATCATGCTTAAGTAATAATGCCGCGTATAAACGCACGTTTTGTCATAAAAAGGCTCATCAGATCAATAGATTAATACTGTAGTAGTTCAGAAGTTACCCGAAAAAAGATGCCAGTACAAAATAATAGTAAAAAACAGTACCAAACCAACCAAGGATGACGTAGGGGAAAAACCTACCTTGAATTTGCAGCCCTCTGTCAATTCTTTTCCTGCCTGCGACTATCGTCAAACTGCAAAAATGTGAAAACATCAGACGTTGATGACTGGATTCTGAAAATGAAATCCAGAAGGCCACGTCGGTAAAACTGAGTACAGATTGAGCAACTAGTGGTGTGCTAAAGGCTATTATATAATTCCAAAAATGGCAACTAAGAATTCACCGGAGCCCATATTGGAAAATGGAAAGGAGGAGTACCCGTAGTACTAATAACCGACTTGCAACGCGTAAGAGAAAAGTCAAACCTAAGTGGCGAAGGTGAAGAAAAATCACCAACCTTACAACTTCCGGTATTTCAACGTCGGTCAAATTTCGTTGCGGATTTCCATGGACGCATTTGATTCCGAGGACATCTAGTTAGCTTCTTCTTCGTTCATATTTTGTCTCTGAAACTTCAGCATCATCATTTCCGGTAACACATTTGGGTAAATCTGAAAATACACATAAGCTTAAATTCACCAAGATCATTTGAAAAAGTGACCCGTATTTTGTTTTTGAGACTTTCAGACTACTTTCTGAGACAAAAGACTTCATTCTTGAGCAAAATTGATTACTGGGCAGTACGAGGTTAGATAAACCATCATTCTACTAAAAGAAGCCTATTTTAATTGTCATCTTTGAACTCAGTTACCTTGATTTCTGTACAAAATATCAAAATTTGATCCACTGATAAAATTATGGTGATTGAATGATAGATAATTCATCAGTTGACAATATTTAGATATCTTAAACAGAAATCAGGATAATTGAGCCCAAGGTTGACGGTTTGTGTGGGCTTCTATTAGAGGAAATACGGTATATATTAGGTTTGTAATTCTTTTGGACCGTCATATCTCAGCGTTGATTCAACTTTTTATTATTCTGTTTTTTCTATATTGTAGTACTAGTTCTACATGTTTAAAAGATTTGTTGAAATTACTGACGGCGTTCATAATGACCGAGAATTTGCTCAGAGACCACCATGATCTCAGGGGTGTTTTTTTCTGCAAGTTTCTTCAAGGTCACAAATGCAGCGTAGCTTGTCGTAAACTGTGTACCGTGTTGGGCGAAAACTTTATGTCCTACACTACAATGAAGTTTTGGTTCAAAAGGTTTTCCGAAGAGACTACGATCTCAAAGTTCCGGTTGACCAAGTGTTGATCTTCACGAGGATATCTCTAGAGCGCTAGAAGAAGAACCAAGAGTAACGTCACACGAGCTTACAGCGAGTCTCAACCGTCTTCTAAAAACCATCATTGATCATCTTCATGAATTCGGAGAATAGCAAAAGTTTGGTCAACTCGTTCCTCACCTTTTGACGGATTAACGAAAACCATTGCGTTGCGACTTGGCACATTCTCGGCTTATTATGAAACTCAGCACCAATTGGGGTGAGAATATTATCAATGATGACGAGTAGAAAAAGACGATGGATTCCGGCCGAGGAAGCCGCCACAACGGACATCAAAAGAGAGCTTCACAAGAAAAAAGTTATGTTGTCCATTTGGTGGGACAGTGAAGGCGTTATCTTCAGAAGACTTCTTCTAGACGGCGTCACTATCAATGCGGACCTCGACTGCACTCAGATGGAAAAAGTGTTCCCGGATTATCGATCAAATTGCCAGAATAATTTCCACTTGTTGATGATTCATGACAACGCAAGGCCACCCCCTACATCGACGAGCCGTCAGACGCTCCAGATGCTCGGAGTCAAGGTCTTCTGTCACCCATCGTATTCAACAGACCTTGCCCTATCTGAATAGCAACTAATCCGTTCCCTGAAAAATCACTTTTATAGGCGAAAGTTCCATGATAGAAAGGATGTCGAAAAGTGGTTGGACGACGTTTTCGCTTCCCAGCTTCCCGAGTTCTACAGTCATGGAATCGCTTAACTTTCATCGCTTTGACAAGTAGTCATTGATACTATTGGTGAATAGATCACACATTGAATTTCGTTTTATGTGAATAAATTTTGTCCCGAAAAAAATTCAAAAAATTACAAAGACTTTTCGCTCAACCTAATATATGTATATATATTTTTTTGTAGTCAAAATTCATAATTTTTGACACAATAATTTTTGAAAATCCCCGGAATAATGCTGTATGTGGGAAAGTGAAGAACCTACCTTCAATTATCTCGGTTCCTTCGACCTCTGGTTGTTGCTTTTTCCGAATCTGAAAATAAATTTCAACAGGCCACAAAAGCTTAAGTTCACCGGGAGGAGTAAATTGACCCGTAGGTTTTTTCAGTCTCCAGACATTGACAAGACTAGACCCGTTTTTTTTCGATTAACTGGTATTATGCACCGGTAATCATCAATTGGTTCCTATATTATTGTCGAATTAAAAAAAAAGTGGAACCTGAAAATTTGAAAGGCATAGCTTTTTTTGATTTACGAAAAAGTGCGGCAAAATGTAATATATCAGACTTTCGACTCGTTCGAACTACTTTTGCAATTTAGCTTGGTTTTTCAATGAAAAGCAGATTCTAGCAATGCTAGCGATCATTTTCATACTAAGAAATCTAAATTTTGGCCAGAAAATCTCACTAAATTCACAGAAACAATTTTCGTTTACTACTGTGGTGATTTCGAGGCAAGGCCTCAAAAATTGACTGGGAAGCCGCCCGCAAAATTTTCCAGGTCCCACTTTTTTAATTCGACAATATGCCTTATAAGAAGTCACCGGGTGGGAGCTTATAGTGGTGTAAGGAAAACCTACCTTGAACTGTGTTCCCGAGAAAGAAGTCCAGCATCCTCATCACATTTGGAATAAGTCGTTTAGCTGGAAAAATAACCAGAAGGAAAGCAAAAGCCGCATAAGTGATCAGAACTTTGAAAATTTTGGAGTTTCAATCACTTTTGAACGGTATCCTTTTTTAACGGCATTCCATATATTCGATAATTCAGAAAAGGTAATATTTCAAAAAAGTTTAAAAAATCTTCCGCAGAATTTCGAAATTATGAAAAGTTATGGGAGATTCGGAGCTTTACAGAATTTTAAAATTAGTTGGAACTGTTATTATTTTTTAGAAATTTTCAAGATTTCAAAACTTTTGGAGAACCTTTTTTTTTAATTGGAACTTTGAAAAGAATGGAATTTCGAAAAATTTTGTTGGAAACTTGGTACATCCGAAATTGAGAAAGTTGAAACTATAAACAATTCTTGTGAAACTTTTGGAAGTTTTTGGAAAGTTTTGGAAACAAGAAAAAATATTTCTGAAAATTTTCGGAAAATGGTCTACAAAATACTTTTTTGGAACATTTGAAAAAAAGAAATTTGGTACATCCGAAATCAAAAAAAATTTGGAGTTTTTGTAAAGTCTTGGAATTTCACGACATTTGGAAATCTTGGAATTGGTTGGAATCCTGATCCCTTCGATGAGCTTCTCGTTCTTTCCAATTCTGTTGATTTTCGGCAACATCGCTTCCGGTTGACTTGTTCTGAAAATAAATTCCAACAGGCCACATAAGCTTAAGTTCACCGGGAGGAAGAGTGACCCGTATGTTTTTTTTTCTCGGTAACCGGACTTTCTGATATTGAGTATATGTAGAGATTCAAGACAATATTAGACCCGTTTTTTTCAGTTAATCGGTATCAGATAATAATGCACCGGGAATCATCAATTGGTTCCTATATTATGCCTAATAAAAAGTCACCGGGGTGGGAGCCTATAGTGGTGTAGGTAAGACCTACCTTGAACGTTGTTGTTCCGGAAAATGTGTCGACATCCTCGTCCCATCTTGAAGAAGTTGGTCAGCTTCTGTGCTCTGATTATCAGCGATTGATTGACGACTTCATGGTTAGCCTGACCTGAAAATAAAAACCGAAAGGCCACGTAAGCATAGCTGAATAGTACAGCAGTGAATGGAAAAGAATCTGGAGACTGAAGCGTATTGGCATATCAGGAAGGCAAGAAGGGAAAATAGGAACTAGTAGTTCGGGCACCCGTATTTTATTGAGCAAGTAAGGGAATTCACCGGGATTGAATGAAAAACTGGGACATTTCAGAATAAGTGACACCGGTCTTAATGCTTAGCATCGCGGTGTAGGTGAGTCGAAACCACCTACCTGTATATGAAGTTACAAAGGCGGCAAAGGCCACTGAAAATTGGTCGTTATCTCGAATATGATAATTTGTGAGCATCCATGATCCATGACGAGTTTTTGTTGGAAGAATTCCATCATGTTGATTCGATCCCCTCGACCTGAAAATAGAAAACCGAAAGGCCACGTTAGCTCAGAGTGGAGGGTGGGGATTTTCATGATTGGTAGACCCGTTTATAGCTTGTGGGAACTGTCTGGAGGAATTGGGAGAATTAACGGTAAGGCACGCGGTGAATATGTAGTAGATAATATTTGAAGCTGGAGCAGTTTAAAGAAACTGTGAAAAACCTAGATTAAAAGTTGGCAAGTTGTAACCCGCAAAGCTAAGCTAAGGTGGCGAGAGTGATTAAAAATCACCCACCTGGATATTCATAATATTTTACAGCAGTCCCAGTCTCTTTGATCCGACGCTTCACCATTCAATACAATCGCTATTCCTATCGACGCCGAAATCTCGAAAATCCATATTTGCCGCTTCATCTCAGTAATTCAAGTTTGTGAGCATCCATGATCCATGACAAGTTTTTGTTGGAAGAATTCCATCATGTTGATTCGATCCACTCGACCTGAAAATAGAAAACCGAAAGGCCACGTTAGCTTAGCAAAAAGGGGTAGGGTGAAATCGTTGTCTGGAGAATTCGCAAAGATGAATGTTGGAAAATGTGGGAGAATTTAGTAGACATGAATATTGAAGATTGAAGACGATGTAGCTAGTAGAAAACATTTGAACTGTTGGTAAGGTGAAAAGACCCGGGAAGCTAAGCTAAGGTGGCGAGAGTGATTAAAAATCACCCACCTGGATTTTCATAATTTTCCCGCAGTCTCAGTCTTTTTGATTTGACGCTTTAAGATCTAGTAGTGTTGGATATGACCGTCATTGATTGGGCGTCATCTCAGATATGATAGTTTTCGCGCATTTATGAACTTCGATCAGCTTTTGTTGCAGGATGTTCTTCGTGTTGTTTTGCTACATCCAACCTGAAAATAAAAACCGTAGGGGCACGTTAGTTTAGAGTGGGGGGGGGGGGTGTGGGAATCTTAATGGTTGATGAACCTTTTTTTTAGTTAGTGGGAACTGTCTGGAAAAATTGGAGAGTTAACTACCAGGGCGGCAAGGCGTGCGGTGAATAGAGAATATTTGTAGGCGGCAGAAAACGTTGGAATTGTAGATAATAGAGAATAGTTGAACTGTTGACAAGGTGGCCCAGGAAGCTAAGTTAAGGTGGCGAAAGTGTTGAAAATCACTAGCCTGGTTACTCATGTTTTTTTACAGCAGTTTCAAAATTCTTGATGCGACGCACATCCATTGCATACCGCTTGACGCACACCGACGTCTCGAAAATTAAAATTTTTCGAGTCTCTTCCAGAATTTTCCATAAACGAGGTCGCACCAAGGAAATTTGTCTTCAGATGTTCTTGTTTTTCCATGATTGCTTCATTTTTGAGGCGTTTTTGTGTGTTGCTGCAATTTTTGTTTCTCTACCGTTCACTCCATCAAATCTGAAAATTAAAACCTATGCTCAAGTGGCGAAAGTGATTAAAAGCCACCAACCTGGATCTTCATGACTTTTTTCCAGCACTCCCAAGCTTTTTCATGCGATGATCCACCATCCCATATTGCTATTCATATTGCCACCGACATCTTGAAAATCCATTTTTGCAGAAACTTCGCCTCTCTTTCTTTCAAAAATGTAACATAATCGCAAATTAGTCGGAAAATAAGTACACAGGGAATTCAACCCAAAGAATTGAAAATTAAGAAAAATGAAACCAGCTTTATCAAAAACTACTTTACTCGTACAAATAAAAAAAAAAGATCGAGTGAGTTTCAGTTAAAAATGGTAAATTTTGAGAGAGCGAAAGTGAAAGTTTAAAATTCTGAAATTATTTTGAAATTTTGAAATGTTCAAAAAATCTTGCGGATTTCCAAAAATTTAAAACCAGTGAAAAAGCAGAATTTGACATGTATGACTTTTTTTTCAGATTATTAACCTTCAGCAATTTTCGAATTATCTAAATTGACAATTTTAAACTGAAAATTGAAACAATATTGAATTTCGCGATCACTTTACTGATTCTTCAAATAGTGGCTCCACTCGATGACCATTTTTTGCGCCTCCACAACATTCTCCTGAAAACGGAATTTACACAAATGAAATAACACGAATGAAAAATTGATTTTTACCTCGCAGAGGCCACAATGCACCATTTCTGCGACACTATCCAAGATCGCTTGTAGAATCCCATTTCTTTGGGATAGATCTTCGTAAGCCGGGTGGCCTTTCTTGGGAACTCCATGGAAGGAGTTCACCTGAAATGAAATTCAATAAGCAACATTTTAAAAAGCCGATAAACTAACAATTTTCTCTCCCAGCATCTCGAGCTGACAATGCAGCTGGAACACTGTGGCCTTCTTTGATTCCATGATGTCTGGAAAAAGATTATAGTTATTAAAAGCTGATTGATTAAGCACACGGAGGTTAAGAAAAGAGAACGTGCAAATAAAAACAAAAACGAGCAAGTGTTGAGGAGGAGTTGAAATTTCTGGAAGGGAAAGAAATCGTGAGAGCAAAAGAAAATTGTTGTAATCCGGATGAAGCTAAATAGAGAATTCCGATAGAAATACGGTTTTCTCTTGAAAAGCAGGAACTTCAAGAAAATTAGCAATGATGATAAAAGAAATTCTATGTACAGTACCAATCAATGAGACTGATTTTGACCATTTGGGTGGGCCTCTATTTTTCAATGATTAATTTTCAAAAAAATTTTTTTCAAAAAATCAGAAATTAGACAATTCGGAAGTTAAGAGTTCTGAAATTCGGTGTTTTTTTCAATTTGAAGTTTTCATTCTGCAATTCTAAACTCCGAATTTCCGCATTTATGAAATTCTGAGATTCCAGAATCTCAAAATTCAATATTCAGGAACTCTGTAGACAAGAAATTGAGAAATTTAAAAGTTGAGAAAAAACCCATGGGCTAAGAGGGTGGGCTTCTATTTTTCGAAGCACCTCGCGGTGTGGGCTTCTATTAGAGGGGGGCCATAGAAGTGGGAATAGAGGTGGGCTTCTATTAGAGGAAATACGGTATTTGCCGATTTCTGGAAGGCACCTTTTTTTAAATACAAATACGGGAAAAAATGGGAGTCTTTCAAAAATCAGCAAATACATAACTGAAACGCTAGAATTTTTGAAATTCTCCGTGAGAGTTTGACAGCCGAACTCCAGACTCTTGAAAATGGTCAATATCAACTGAAAGACACGTTTTGTTATCTTATTGGCCGGTACTGTACGGTAGGCTCTTACAAGTAATGAATATGTCCGTTGATTTCGATATTTTTTCGAAAAGGCGGTTGATCGGAATTCAACGTTTTTCTGATCCGGGATCAAAGTTCTAAAGTTAGGATCAAAGTTCTAAAGCTTGCTCAATAGCTAGGAACTGTAACATTCAGACTGAATAACCAAATTTCAACTCAAACGGTAAAAATCAGCTGGTTGGACGGACACCGGGGGTGTATAAAATTTGAAATTCTGAAAATTCAGAGAAAAAAAATTACTGAAAAAAAAAACTGAAATTTTTATTAAAAAAGGAAGATCCGAAATGCAAACCGTCCAAAAAAATGAAAGTGAAAAATATTGAATTATTAAAGGTTTCAGCGAGAAAATATTTTCAGTCATTTTTCGAAATTTCGAGATTGTTCCGAAATTTTCAAAAATAAGGAAAAAATTTCAGATCATATGTTTCCGAAATCGCAAGATCAGAAATTTAGGAAAAATGTTGTTTTCCGAACTTTCCGAAATTCGGGAAAAGAGCCGGGTCGTGTTTTTTAATAATTATATATATTAATGGTCAATTTTTTGATTGGAGTAGAAAAATGTGATTTTCGTGATGTCAAAATCAGAAAACAATACAAAAATCAATTCGAGAGCAATCAAACTTAAAAAGGATCTTCCAGACCATTCTGAATATCTGAAACGTAATTGATCAACATTACAAATTAACATGCTATTAGGTTGGTAAAAAAGTAATGCGCGTTTTTGATGTACTTTATTTTTATTGTAAAAATGAAACAAAAGGACATCAATCGAGAACATACTTTCCATCATTATCGACCACTCTCTGCCAACGCATGGGCGAAAATTCGATGCCTCTCGTGAAGAACCTCACTGGCTGTGATTCGAAGTAGTTCGTTACCCAGATTTTCACTTTTCCCCCATTCTTGAACGTTTTCTCAAAGAGATGATGCTGCATTGGCCTGAGCAAGTCATAGTCGGATAGTGCGAAATTTGGGCTACAAGGCGACTGTAAAAGCACTTCCCAGTCTATCTTCAAAAAAAATTTTGAGTGATTTTTGCGGTGTGTGGTCGAGAGTTGTCGTGAACCAGAAACTTCGCTGATGAGCCCACTCCTTGCCGTTTGAGCACCTGGTCCACCCGGTTCAGCTGACCTTTATCACAATTGGTAGTCACTATTTGACAATGCTTTAGAAATTCAAAACACCTCAGGCCTCGCAAATTCCACCAGACACAGAACATATCCTTTTCCCCGTGCATGTTCGGTTTTGGTGTCGGTTTCGGTGATTCGTCATGATTCAGTCACTGCTTTTTCTATTCAAAGCACTCGCATTGAGTCCATCTCTCATCCAATATCAAAATTGGATCCAAGAAACCAAGACTTTTTGAACGGCGCAAGATAAAACCGGCCACATCGATGCGCTTTTTCTTGTTATCGTCAGAAAGTTCGTGTGACACCTTTTTTCTGCATCTGTTTGCTTTCCAGAATTGTGATTAAGGTGCGATTAGACTGTTCTGATAAGCAGCTAGTTGTTTGGCACGGGTCCAGTTCGCTTGCTGATCTCAAGAAATCGTTGACAACGCTTTTTAGACGAAACTGCGTGTTTAGCCTTCCACGCTTTCTTCGACGCTTCTGGAACGTCGAAACCAGCGTCGATATTAATTTTTGGATAAAGCATCTTATTAAAATACTGACGGAAAAAGGCGATGTGCTTCGGCGGCGGCTTTTCCGTTTTTGAATTCATGGGAAAATAAGACTCGAAAACGAACATTTTGATTGGCCATCTTTTTGAAAGTTTTTCCCTATTCAAAAATTGATTCGAACAGTGAAGTAACAATAAAAAACAAAGTTAAAGACATGTTATTTGAAATAAAGAAAAAATTGAGCCGAACAACCTATTCACAGGCGAAATATAAAACACAAACATAGCGCGCATTACTTTTTTACCAACCTAATATTATAATAACAATACTATATGTGAAAAAGCAAATCATGCAGTGTGCCAGTTGAACCAAAAAAAACTTTATGTGAAAGTTGGCTGCACACGTAGTACTTTCCACATTCAACTTAATTCGACTTATCGAACATTCCAGCTTACCTGAAATTTGTTAGGGAAGCTATGCAAGTCATGCCAAGCGCGAGATCCATCCAACACTGAAACCTTAGCACTTCGCCTTGTCTTGAAATTCCTGTTTATCGATTTGTGTCTGTTCGAAGCCCATAAGTCATTTGAAAATATTGAAAATCTTACTTGAAAAGTGATTCCTTGGTCATGTTTTCCAGTTTCTAAAGAGTATTTCATGCATAGCCATACTATAATTAAAAAACAATAATAATAATAATGATAAATTCAGAAAACGCGCGTTGAGTAAAATCTTGCCAATAGATTTTGACGTCTTGAAACTCTTGCGCTATTCTGAATTGAAATTAGTGAACAAATTTTGCAGGTGCCTGCAACAAACCCATTTTCATGAGTGTCGTGGTAAAAACGGTTGTATTCTCTATTCTAAACCTCCGGAGTTAATTTCAATTATATACTCCGCCACTTTCACATTTTATTTTAAATCTTGTGGACAATCCGCAAAAAAGATACCGTAACCCTAATGCAACACCCCCTTTCCCAAATCGTCCTTGTTAAAGGTGGGGCGACATGAAAAAATAATGTTCTCCGAATTTCTTTCGAATTTGTCCCTTGAGGAGTTGTTGAACTTGTCGGGGCGAGTATTGAAGGTGCGGTGCAGCTACCGATTGAGCCACGCGGGCGAAGGAGGAACGGGCGCCCGACGGTAAACATAAGGGTGAGGACGGCAGCTGTACGCAGAGGGACATTAGGCAATGTACACCGTTACGGTAGAATGCGCACCCTGGCCCCAAAAATCCACCGGAAAATCTTATGTTTCCCCACCTTTAAGCCGTTATATCTCATTCCCTGTCAAAGGTATCAAAAAGTGATCAACTGACAAAACATTTCTTACAATATCAAAAATATTTTGTCAGTCAATTACATTTTGATATTTTTCACAAGAACCAAGATAAATAGGCTCAAAGTTGAAAGTTAGATATGACGTTCTATTAGAGTGTTCTCGGTATTCATCAAAAGTGATATTTTTCCGAGTTGTACCCGAAACTTTTCCAAGAAGCCCCTGATCAAAGATTGCCCATAACACGTCATATTCTTTGTCCCACGGTCAGTCCATTCTGTGCTCAACTCTCCGCGCACTCCGACATCTTTAAAGAAGTCCCCAATATCTTGATTTACGATCACATTTGCGCAAATCAAATTACTATTTCAAAGATCTAACACTTATAAACACCCTTCCCTTAACATCTTCCCGATTTTCTTAATCTAAACAATTAGTTTGGCTTCCTGTACTCGTCATACCGTATTTCCTACTATAGAAGCCCACTCAATTGATAAACTTTGACCTCAATTATTTGGTTTCTATTAAAGATATCAAAAATTTGTCAAAAAAAAGAAAAATTGTGATAAACAATTTGGCAGCAGACAATTTTTTGATACCTTCCCCAGAAAACGAAACAATTGCGCTTAAAGTTGGCGGTTGGAGCTTATATTTGAGGAAACACAGTGAATCAAAAGAAGGGTGCCATTAAATTGACGGATTCAATCGAAGAAAGTTTGCGCGTGTATCCTTTCCTCCACATACTTTCCATATTTCAGTGTATAATAGCATAGAATCTATACTTTTTCGATAATAGGGCACAAATGTCATGAGATTTCCTGGCAATGCACAGATTGCGTCTACATCAGCCTCTTCGCTGCGTCTCTTTGCAACGAACGCGCCTCTTAGCTTTCTGCCTCTCAAAGCTACCCTCTTTCTCTAAAAAAGGTAATAAGAAGCGTACTGTTCTAGGACTCGGGTCGCATTGTATCTCTGCACCATTCATCTTCTTCCTCTCATCCGCTACAAAGTTCAACATTGCTCCTTCTTCAACTGCCGGTTGGCTTTGGTTCTGAAATGTTATCAGTTTTCTGATGAAATCTGAGCATAGATTTTTCAACATCCATGAGTCCATGAGCATAAAAGAGACTCGGTATGAATCTGATGTTCTACTAGAGCACAACAAATAGTCATTACAAAGAATTGGAAAAATGAAACTTAACCACATACAGTA